AAATGAAATCTTTTTAATCTTTGAAAATGATATTTGACAAGTAAAGGCAACCTTAGGATTAAAAAAAAATAATCAATATTGGACCCATTTCCTGAGATTTTAGGAAAATTCACCCACGACTCCTCTTGTTTTCATTAGGTAGAATGAAACCTGCTTTGTTTTGATCAGGACATTCAGAAAAAAAAAAAATTTTTTTCTTTTTGGTCTTTTTGAGACAGGGTCTCTTATAACCTCAGCTGGCCTGGAATTCACTATATAGACCAGGCTGTCCTGGAACTCACAGAGATCCACCTGCTTCTGCTTCCTGAGTGCTGGAATTAAAGGCATGTGCCACCATGCCCAGCCTTTAGAAAATACTTATTAATGTTAGATGGTATTTCAGTTTAATACTAATATAACATTATAGCCCAAATTCTTCCTTTTGTTGTTGTGATAGGGACTTTTTTTATGTGTATATGTATCTGTGCTATATGCATGTATACATATATGTTGATGTGTATGCATGTATGTGCACTTGTGGAGGTCAGATGTTAACATCAGGTGTCTTTTTCTCTTGCACTGTATACCTTTTTTAAAAATATTTGTTGATTAGCCAGGTGTGGTGGTGCACGCCTTTAGTCCCAGCACTTGGGAGGCAGAGGCAGGCAGATCTCTGTGAGTTCAAGGACAGCCTAGTCTACATAGTGAGTTCCAGGACAGCTGGGGCTACAGGGAGACCCTGTCTCAAAAAGAAAAAAAAAAAATTGTTGATTGACTGATTGATTGATTGATTGATTGAGAGAGAGAGAGAGAGAGAGAGAGAGAGAGAGAGAGAGTGTGTGTACATGTATATGCAAGCATGTAGAGATCAGAGGACAGCATGTAGGAATTAATTCTTTCCTTTTACCCTATGGATTTTGGGGATCAAAGTCAGGTCATCAGAGTTGGTGGCAAGCACCTTTACCCACTGAACTGTCTTGTCAGCCTCTACATCTTTTTGTTTGAGACAGGGTCTCTACACTGATCCTGGAGCTGATTCAGCTAGACTGGATAGCCAGTGAGTTTCGGGGACCTACCTGTTTCCATCCATAATTCTCTCTCCAGCTTTTATATGAATGTTAGGGATTTGTAGTTTACCCACCATGCCCTCTCCCCAGCCTCCTCCTCTTCCTGTTCTTTTGGTTTTTCTTTTGGTCAGTACTGGAGGTTGAACCTAAGACCTTACATATGCTAGGCAAGTGCTTCCTCACTGAGTTACAGCCCCAATCCTTAAGAAGGATTTTACAGAGCTGACAATCAATGAATGTCATTCAAGATGGTTTTGAGGTTTTTTTTGTTTTGTTTTGGTTTTGGTTTGGGGGGTTTCTGTTTGTTTTGTTTTGTTTGTTTTTTGAGACAGGGTCTCACTCTGTAGTCCTGGCTGGTCTAGAACTCACTATGTAGACCAGGCTGGCCTCAAATTCATACAGATCTGCCGGCCTCTGCCTCCCAAGTGCTAGGATCAAAACTTCATTCAAGATTTTATCCTGAGACCTTGAGATTTGGTTGTAGTTTCCTATTCTCATAATTCCTGACTAGGCTTTTACTTGAAATTAGATACCATATAAGACAGTTTGTTTGTTTGTTTTTAATTTATTTTGTTGTGGTGGTTCTAGACTCCAGCCAAGAATATACGGACTCTACTGGAATAGACCTCCATGAATTTCTTGTAAATACACTGAAAAAGAACCCCAGGTAATAACATGATTGATGTAGGGGAAAGGGGGCAGGTTTAAGACCATCAGGACTCTTTGAAGCCAAGCAGCTCTCTAGTATTTTCCGTTATTAGAATATAGAGTGTCTATCTCTATCTCTTCCCAGAATGCTTCTCAAATATGGTTTTATATTCAGAGAGATTCAGAATACTGTCACATTGAGATTGCTGCTTTTTTAAGATTGCTGCTTTTTTTTTGCAAGAAGAGCACAGTGAAGAAATACAAAGATGTGGGACTATTATAAGTTAAAAAGCCCAGAGGAAAGAGATAGTTGATTTGTACATAAGCTAAATCATAAATACTTTAAAATTCTATGAATAATTAGATGGGATATAGAATAGCATAAAGTATTTCTATGATTATGTTGCTAACAATTAGATTTCTGATATGAACAACAAAGTATATGATTAGAAGGGGTCTACAAAATGTATACTTGAGTTGGTGTTATTTTTCAGAATACCATAGTCAATGGGGCTTGGTAGCCCCTGTGTTATGGTCCATTGTTAAGAGTTTGGATATATCCCTCAGCTTTTATGGTGAATTAGTTGTATTTTCAGTCCCTCTTTCATTGTCTATGGGAGGGCTATGTTTTGTTTTAATCTTTTTTAAACAGGGACAGAATGATGCTGCTAAAATTAGAACAGGAGATTCTGGAATTTATTAATGACAACAAGTAAGTTACTTTTATGAAATATACATCATTTAGAGGTGGGAAGGGCACTGGAAAGAAATTATGTACAACTTTAGGACATCTCCCTTTCCCTCAAAGTGAAAACTTAGAAGTAATTACTCACTGGGGAAACAAAAAGAATTAGGGAACAACAGTCAGAATGGATTAAAAAGTATATGTATAGGGCCAGGCATGGTGGCGCATGCCTTTAATCCCAGCACTTGGGAGGCAGAGGCAGGTGGATCTCTGTGAGTTCAAGGACAGCCTGGTCTACATAGTGAGTTTCAGGACATCTGGGGCTACAGGGAGACCCTGTCTCAAAAAGACGCCCCCTCCCCCACAAAAAAGTGTATGTATAAAAGCAAGTGAGGTTTTTAGCTGTTGCATAAACTTGAGCTAAAAAGAATTTATATTGATCTAGAGAGATGTCTCAGTGGTTAAGAGCACTGGCTGCTCTTGAAGAGGACCTGGGTTTGGTTCCCAGCACCCATGTGGCAGCTATCAACATCATTACCTCAAGTTCCAGGGACTCCAATGCCCTCTTCTGGCCTCTACAGGCATTAGGCATGCATTCGGTACACATACATGCAGACAAGACATTTATACACATAAGAAATAAAAATAAGTCTTTTTTTAAAAAAAGTATATTTCTTCAGCAGCTAGGTCTTATCTCTGATATTATTTTACTTAAGTTTCTCCCATTTTTCTTTGACTAGCAACATCCAGGTGGGTGGAATCAAGGTCTTAAGAAGTACTATTACTAGAGGCCGACACAAACTAATCTACAAAATACTGAGAGAAACCTTTTTGGTTCCACAAAGTAAATATCTATCTTCTATGTGTCTGTTTCTTCCAAGAAATTCTCTATTTTAGATACTGTTATGAAAAATTAGTTGGCTACTATTGCTATTGTTATTTTACTTTTTCCCTTGGTATCCCTTCAGTAACCAGTTTAAGAAGTTTCCTCAGATGACCTCATATCACCGGATGCTATTACATCGAGTAGCTGCCTATTTTGGGATGGACCACAATGTTGATCAAACTGGGAAAGCTGTCATCATCAACAAAACCAGCAACACAAGAATGTAAGGGAGAAAGCTATGGATTGGGAAGTTTGTCATGGGATAGCCTGCTAAGATAGAAGAGAAAGGTGTAGAATCCAATACTCTTCCAAGGGAGGGAGGAGGAATTCTATATTATCAATTTCTACTTACTGTGAGGCCTTCAAGATTGATTCTAATCTAGAGACACTGCAGACTGGCCATAGCCTCTCTTCATCTTCTCTGAAAGAACAGGTACAACTTTGGAGGAAGAGAAGTTATAGATGTATAAAGAACAAACATAAGCTCCACATGATAGAGCACACTTGTAATCCTAGCACTTGGGGGAGGTAGAGGCAGAAGGGTCAGGAGTTCAAAACCAGACTACATGAGATCCTATCTCAAAAGAAAAAGATTAGAAATAAAGATTTATTAAAACTTTCACGTGACTTTGTGGATGCCTGACTCGAGAAATCCTCTTAGTAGAGGATGGAACTTAAGAGAGCTCTACCTAGAACTTTTCCTCTGTAATGAAAAAGTCTTTTTCCTCCCTTTTTTCACATTTCTTTCCAAATCTCAGCCCTGAACAGAGGTTCTCGGAACATATAAAGGATGAGAAGAACACAGAATTTCAACAGAGATTCATTCTCAAGAGAGATGATGCTAGTATGGACCGAGATGATAACCAGGTGAAGAATGGGAAAGGGTGGGCCTAAAGATGGAGACTGCAGTAAGAGAAACTGGGAAGGGAGAAGAATTTTTGTGGGGTGGAGAAATTTTAAAATATCTTAGAATGGAAAACTAGATTGAGTTATATTATATATATATATATATTGAGTTGGCTTTGGCTTAATACTGAGGACTGACTACAGCTGTTGAGCTGGAATGCTACCCTCTTTGCCCCAGAGAGACGTGGTGCTGAGATTTGCTGGGTGATCTCATTTGGCCTACAATTACTTGGGCCTATCACTAGCTTCTAACTACATGTCATTTGGGACAAAGCAAGAACCCTTTCTGCATCAGCTTTGATCTAGCTGATGGTTTCATTCCTCCCTCCACCCCAGTAGTTAGGGTTTACATTGGGAAGTATCAAAAGCTACTTTATCCCACTTATACTTTTATCCTAGCTCAGGGCAAGCCTTGATCTGGTGAAGTTGTGGTCTAATTTAACCAGTTACAAAGGTATCTTTGGTCCCTTTTTGCAAACTCCTTAATCTCTTCCCAACTCCTTCCACCAAGGTGAGTTAATTTGACTTTCAGTCCTGGGAAACTCAGACCCCTTTGTGCTCCACTCCCCCGGGGAACTAAGAAATTAACAAGTGTCCTGTCCCTTCATTTATGGTAGGCCTAGGTGCTGCTCTGACCACTGGCCAACCTTTTCAAATGATTGGGGATTAGTTTTCCTAGCTAGATGGAGGGGTTAGAGTCATCCTACATCTGCTTGACCTCCAAGGGGATTAGATTTGAAGAGTGTGGTTGAGTAGAGCCAATATGAACCTTGGTAATGAAAAGTAACTATAATAATACTTACCTCTACAGTCAAATTAGTTTTCTTGAAATGCTATATGGTCTTAAGACTAGGATCTTGCTTCCTATTTCAATATTAAAGGGAATGGAAAGATGGCATTATCTAATGTGGACAAACACTCTGGGTCTGATTGAAAGCAAAGAAACATACAAAAAAACAAAATGTTTATAAAACAAGAAAAAGCCTTTCCATCCTGATGCCCTTCTCTACATTTTCCCAAAACCCTTTTTTCACAGATAAGAAATTATTCAGGCCTAGAAACACACCAGAACAGAATGACAACTGTTCCTACTGTGAACTTATCATCTCTCAGCTTCAAGCTTGATCCCTACTAATAGGGTAGACTCTGAAGTTTCTAACTGTGCTATTAATAACAAACAACATATTATTTTATTTTTTTTTTCCCCAAATTGGGCTTCACTTTAAAAATATGCATTATCAGGCCGGGTGTGATGGTGCACTCCTTTAATCCCAGCACTCAGGAGGCAGAGGCAGGCAGATCTCTGTGAGTTCAAGGCCAGCCTGGTCTACATAGTAAGTTCCAGGACAGCTGGGGCTACAGGGAGACCCTTTCTCAAAAAGACCAAAAAAAAAAAAAGCATTATACTGGAAATCCTAAGTCTAAGATGTTCTATTACTTACCTGAAGTCACCTTACTAGGAGTTGACAAAGCTGGGATTTGGCTTGATACCCATTATGCTCTTTCTACTCTATTGGTTTACCAGTGTTAGGGGCTTCTTGAGGGTTCTGTGTCTTCTTGTAATAGTGAGATACAGGTTCTGAAGAATAGTGAGAATTCTATCTAATCAAAATAGAGACTTCTGAAGTTTGGGCTGCCTTTGGAAACGGATCAAGAGTATTAGCCTAGAACAGCAAGTTCCTTAGAGCTTCATCTGAACCCTCTAGATTGAAGGTCAGAATTGTCTGTAGCTTGATATCATTGACTTGATGAATTCTTTCTCAGAACTCCTTGCTTTTATGAGCACTATAGTAAAGGCTTCTCTGTTACTGCCTCCCTGGAACACTGTTCACAAACAGCAATCCAGGAGAGGAAAAACAATGATGGGAAGTTAGGTGGTAGCTAGCCAGAGGTGGTCATCTGCCCATCAGACATCCCTGTTGGTCACCTCACTGTATTTGTCAGAGAACATAAGGTTCTCTCTGTGTCCTCCATTTCCTTCTTTTCCCTTTATGTCTTTCCTCTCCTTTCACTGTACCTCATATGTTCTTTTCTCTGCCCATTTTGTTCTATTTTGTTCTTCCTTTTTCTTCTGTGTTGCTCTGTTCTCTTTGTTCTTTATTTCTGTGATTTCTTTCTCCTCAACTCCCTTCATTTGCTATAATTAAGATGAGGAAAATGTTTAGTCTTTGAATTTAGCTTCACCCTTGAGATTTTATTTCCAAGACCTTCTTTGCTAAGCCCTTTGTGACTTGGGTCTCCAAGCCATGGTATTAGTGACAAAAGAAGGGGTACTATCAGGTGCTGCTTCTGTGAACCTCTCCCTTCAGCTTTGCTAAATACCTATTTCTTTGCCCTCTCTAGCTTCCTTCTTTCCCTTGCTTGTCCTCTAAAGCAATGTTGTTTATTTTCCCAGGGCTATTTTCTTGATCCTCACTGACTGAACAGTGCATGATTATTCTAGGGAAGCAACCAGTCCTTATAAATAGTTGTTCTTGATACTGGGATGGGGTGGGGGATGTCAAGTCCTTAACCATCCAGAAAAGCTGATCTCTCAAACTGCATGGTCAGATGTACCCAGTGAAACCTGTCCAGGACTGGAAATTTTATTTCTTTTTTTTTTTTTTCCATTTTTTTGATGGCAACTATAAACTTTCCCGGTTTCTCTTCCTTGCTGGTGTGCAGTGAGCTTGCAGTACGAGGAGAACTTAACTAGCTTAATTCTGCTCATCGATCTAGATCAGAGTTCCATTGCAGGATGGAAGGAGGAGCAAGTCAATAGAAGAGAGAGAGGAGGAATATCAAAGGGTCCGAGAGAGAATATTTGCCCGAGAGGTAAGTGTAGCCTCTGAGAGTTGTCAGATCATAGCTTTTAGCTCTTAAATCTTTGGAACTGTGAATGGAATGAACCCTCCATAAATGTTGTTGGGTTTTTTTGTTTCTTTTTTCTTTTTTTGAACCAACATCAGTCAGTCTCAGATTTGACCTCTAAAACTAAATATGGCTCATTGGAAGGCTACAGGTTTTTATATGTAATTTTTGTATACATTTTGCTTTATGGCATGCAAAGAGAACCAAAACTTGGAGTGGCTGATTTTGGTAACTATAACTAAATTGAAAATAGAAATTGTCTTGGCAGAGCTGATGAGAGGGCCCTAAGTCTTGCCTGTCAAGCCTCCTCCCACTTACCCTCTTAGACTCCCACTATCCATTTAGGCATCTTTGCTTCTAAGTGGAAAACTTGATGTCCATACAGGCTCTACATTCATCTTGTTTGGCCAGCTTGTTTTTAGGATATGTTGATAGTTTATTAAAGTGCTGTTCTGGCATCATCCTCTGCAGGTTCCACGTTCCATATGGACAGAGGATGCATCCCCTTATTCCCTCCACTTACTACCCGAACAGGAAATCTTCCTACATTTCTTACCTTGCTTCCTAGAACAGGAATGGCTCCATGATCTAAAAAGCAACATCAATCAGTTAGGCAACTTTATTCTTAAAGAACTATGGGCCATGTCAGATAGGCTTGTTATCCCTGTATCTGGTAGCATTTGCCTGCCAGTATAAGAGATGTGTAGCAGAATTTCAGGAAAGAGTATAGATACGCAAGAGAGAATCTCTAAAACATGTTGGATCTAGAACATCTCATAGTCAGATTAGCAACAAAGGTTTAAATCAGTCCATGTGGATGGACACTGCTCTCCTCCCATTCCTCTATTCTTCTTCTCTCATCAAGACACCCCTCCCATTTTTATATCACACAAACACATACATATACGTGTGTGTGTGTGTGTGTGTGTGTGTGTGTTCATCATCACCTCACTCAGAAAAATATTGTCTCCAACTAAAAACTGAACTCCTATATACTAACTCCATTGTCTTGAGAGGGCCAAGTGCTTCTAAGGATCCTTACTAGGAAGTGATACACAACAAGCCTTCTGGCCTAAAGTTCAAGAAGGAATCTTCTTACCTTCTTACTATGTAGACTTCCATACTGAGTCAGAAAAGTTTGTCCTCCAAATTATCCTACTGTAGCCCAAAGAGAGTTCAGTACTTTATCTGCAAACCAGTTGGGTGGAATGAGAGGAGAGATGTCATTTGTTCATGGCTGTAGCCAGTGATGACCCTAATTATGGATAGAGCAGGTTAGTAGATAATAGCAAATACTAATGGAGTGCTTGCTGTCTTTTAGGCACTGTTCTCAGTTCTTCATGTTGGTTAACTCATGTACTTTTCACAACAGGTCTGTGAAGTTGTTTTAATTATTTCCCCCATTTTATAAATGAGAAACTGAGGCAGAGAGAGGTTAAGTAACAACCCAATATAACATTGCTAGTTAGCAAAAGTGCTGGTATTTGAATGCTGGCAGTCTGGCTTCAGAGTCCAAGTTGTTAACCACTAATGGAAACTACCTCTCAATAACTTGCTCTGCTCTGGGCTCTTCAGATTAGGTAGTTCCAGCAATGACAGCCTGATTTTTATATACAGTCCCATCTCACTGGCACATGGAAAACAACTGTCCCACTGTGTCTAACCCTTTTCAAAGTCTATGATCTGACAGCCAATTCTAATAGGGGTTTGGGGCTAGTTGTCAATAGCAATGGAATATATCTATCTATAACTATAATAAAGGCAAAGTTAGCTCTTCTCTCCTTTTTTCTCCTGACTTCTAGTCTCTCAAGTCTCTACTAATATATGTATTCTTTGTTAAATCCTTGTGGATTTGTCACTTTTGTTTTAGTACTTCCTAGCTCTTGTAATAGAGGCCTCAGGAATCTCAGACGGTCTAGATGAGGAAAAAAGGCCAAAGCCCACTGTCCTCCCAAGATTCCCTGTGGAGAGGAGCCCTGCCAGCTAGAGGGAGTGATTAAGTTTGGAGTTGTAGGTTGGTGGGGTGGGATGGGGTGGGGTAGAGACAAGAAGGCAGGCCTAGAAGAAAGGAAAGTGGCAAGAAGGGTGTTCGGATGGAAATGCTGCTGCTGCAGCCTTCTCTGGAGCCTGAGCTGTACATTGGGAAAGCTCCCCAATGGAGTCTTTGCTCTGTGCAGAGCCTACTATGCTACCTTTGTCTAAGGCTTGGGAGTCCACCACAATGCTCACTTCATTCAGCTCAGTGACTTTGTCAGAAAGTGACCCCAGTAGGACTATTTCTAGACGTTTAATGTTCTCATTTTTTCTAGACTTAAAAGTCTAGAAACCCATCATGGGACTCAGGTTAAATCTTTCATTTTGGCCAATGGAGAAGACAGAGAATAGCCGAGGTTAATTTTTTTTTTTTTAAGAAGTTTCTTTTTTATGACTCCCTTTCACTTCCTTTGAGCATGCCCCTTTATAATCAACTATGTCAATTATTATGCTCAGTTTACTCTTAGAGCAATAAATTTATAGCTAAAGAGGAAATTAGGTTAATTAATTTCCTCTTCCTCCTTTCCATACTCTTCCCTTTATCAATCTTCATTTTAAATACTGTGGAAAGACTAAAAATGCCAATTTTTTTTTCCCCATTAAAGGCGAGAAGTCAGACTGGGATATGGGTATGGTTATTCTGTCCTTGCTCCCTCTCTCCCTGTAGGTGGGGTGAGCTTTGGTTTGAAGATCTTAGGTATTCATAGCATCATGGACATCCTTTTCTGTTATGCCATATTATTTTCTTATAAGTTATTTTCCGTTTTCTCCCCCTCACCTAGACTGGCCAGAACGGATATCTAAATGACATCAGGTTAGTACCACTTAGCATGTTCTCTGCTTCTCATTGAGCTTTGTCAGTGAGGTTAATATAATCCTTTAATGATGCTGTTCTTGTTTTGTTTTGTTTTTGTTTTTTGATGTTAACCAACAGACTCTCCAAAGAAGCCTTTTCTTCTAGCTCTCACAAGAGAAGGCAGATTTTTAGGTACCTCTGTGTGATCTATATCTCTCTTTTTCATTTTTAATTTTGTTTTGCTGTGATCTCTTCAGTGGAGTGGGTTTGCTCCATGCATGGCTGCTTGTGGAATAATTAAATTTGTGGTCTTTGTAATATTGGATTTTTTTTCCTGTTTGGAAAAAAAGGGGGCCCTTCTCAGTGATTTTATTGTCAGTTTCATTTTGAGTCCTGAGTATATGGTAATGGGGACCAACTAGTTGTGTCTGAAACAGGCACTGTCCCTCCCACACATTTTCTGGAATTTGGCACTTAAAAGAATTAAACATACAGCTATTGTAAGGTAAAAGAATGGGTGTCTTCTGGCTACCTTTTTCTATGGAAAAATGTAGACAGCTGATATCTGAACCTAGACCAGGGACTGTTGTATCTCTAAGGGAAATATATATAACACGTATATGTATTATATACACACACGTATATGAATGCTTGTATGTCATTTTCTCTTTGAGACAATGTACTGTGTAAGATGACTTCAGAAAGGATTGGTCTATTTTAGAGTGAACTTAGAGTATATCCTTTATAGGATTGTCTCTAATTTACCCTTTTTGCTGCTGCAAGCTACTGCTTGCTGTGTTAACATCCTCAGAACCTAGTGCTCTCTGTTTCCTCACAAAACACACGTAAGAAAATCTTTTCATTTCAGTCTCATTCTTACCCCAAGGGATAATACAAGATGTAAGTAAGAGAAATATCCTCTACTGGTACCAACTTGCTTTAAGTATATTCTTTCTAATTTACCAACAGAAATAATACAATACAATACAAAGACCCTGAGTATTTAAAACTATAGTTCAGTACTAACTCTTTCTGAAGATTTTCTCTATTTTTTAATCCTAATAGTGATAAGGAACTCAGAAGAGACATCTCATTCCTAGAGCTTTAGTTGTCTTTTCCTTATTGTCCTTTCTAAAGCTAGTTAAACCGTGTAGAAATTAGGACAATGAAGGACTAGAGAGCTGGGTTGGCAATTAAGAGTTTGTACAGCTCTTGCAAAGGACCTGAGTTCAATTCCCAGCACCCACAATAGATGGCTCACAACTGCCTGTAACTCCAGCTCCAGGCAATCTGACACCCTCTGGCTCCAAGAGCACCTGCACTCAAATGCTCATAGAAACAGAAACACACACATACACATAAATGAAAATAAAAATAAATATTTTAAAAAGAAAGAAAGAAATGGAACAATGAAGTTTCCCACCCTTGGGATTAGAGAATTTCCATTTTTCTGACCTTTTTTTCCTAGATAGTCCCACCCTGAAAGCCCATCTGAAAACCAGAGGCAGAGTGAACTTTACATTGTTGGTGGTGCCAAAGACATGTATGCTTCATCATATATACTTTGGGGTTATAATCATCCTGAAATACCTATAATAAGTAGAAGTTTTCAATTTCTTTGTGTTAACAGTTCTTTAAAGTTGCTAGACTGTACCTTGATCACCTGGTTCACATTTAAGAAAAGAAACGTAGATGAAGTAGCTAACCCTAATTTTCATGGCTATGAATAACAAAACTGAGGCAAATTTTTTTTAATGTGTGTAGGAGTGTTTTGCCTGCATGTATGTAAGTATACCTCAGGTATGCAGTACCTTCAGAGGCCAGAAGAGGGTGTTGGATCCTCTAGAATGGGAGTTGGGTACAGATGTTAGCCACCACGTGGGTACTAGGAATCAAACCTGGGTCCTCTGGAAGAACAGCAAGTGTTCGTAACCATGGAGTCATCCCTCCAACCCCTTGAGGTGGATTTTTGTCCAGTGTTCTGTTCATTGTCCACACCAGCACTAAACAATCATCACTTCTTCCCCTGAAACTAATGTTCTATTCATAACCCTAATTCAAATTCACTGCTAAGAATGATGTTCTTCTTTGACCATCAGGTTACAGCAAACTGTGCAGATAATATCTTGAAGATTTTGGTGAGTGGTGTAGCCCTCACCTTTTGAAATCTTTTTTAAGCTGATGCTTTTCAAATTGAGCTTTGGTTAAATACCTAAGTGAGGGCCAGCAAGATGGTTAGTGGATAAAGGTGGCTGCCACCCAGCCTGATAACCTGAGTTCAATCTCCTGGAACTGCATGATGGAAGGAGAGAACCAACTTTTATGGGTTGTCCTCTGACCTTCACACACATGCTGTGGCATGCATGTACCCCCACACATGTTATATATAAACAAATACATAAATTAATTTTAAAGATTAAAATTAAAAGAAAAGATAAAGGCTTAGGAGCAAGAAAATTATCATTAGTGTGGGCAAGGGGACCAGGTTATGAGCTAGCAGTGTAGATAGTTGATAGAGAACTTGCCTAACATGCCCAAGGCCCTGGGTTCAATCACTAGTACCACATAAAACAGATGTGTAGTGGTACACACCTATAATCTCAGCACTCAGAGAGATGGAGGCTAGAAAATCAGAAGTTCAGGATCATCTTTGGCTATGTAAGTAGTTTAATGTCAGCTTGGGGTACACGATACCCGGTCTTTAAAAAAGGAGTTAGGTGTTCTGAAATGCAAAATCATGGAGTAACTTCTTCCTCTGTTTTGGATCCTAGTCCAGAATTCCTACTGAGTGGAAGCTGATCTTCTGTAACTCCTTTTTACATTTCTGTCCCATCTAATGTTTTAGAAAACATACGGTGCACCAGATTTCATCATCCACATTGGTAATAACTATGGCAACATCCCAGTTCTTTAAAAGATCCTATTCCATTGATAAATAAGCCACAGTGAGGATTCTTGCTCTTTATTACCACCTCCTTTTTAAATATTTTATTCTTTTTTTGATTTTATGTGTATGAGTGTATTGCCTGCATGTAAGTGCACCCATGTTGTACAATACCTGTGAAAGTCAAGAGGGTGTTGGAGCCCCTAGAGCTGGAGTTAGGACAGTTTTCAACTGCTGTGTGGGTGCTGGGAACCAAACCCTGGTCCTCCGCAAGAGCAACCAGTGCTCTTAACCATTGAGCCATCTCTCCAGCCCCTATTACCATCTCTTGTACAGGCCTCCATGCCCATTTGTCACACCCCACAAACTGGACTTCTACCTGTAAAAAACAAATAAATCTATTTTTAAAACTAAATTAAGCTGGGCGTGGTAACACATGCACCTTTAATTCTAGCACTCAGGAGGCAGCAGCAGACAGATCTTTGTGAGTTCAAGGCCAGGCTGGTCTACACAGGGAGCTCTAGGCCAGCCAGGGTTACATAGTGAGACCCTATCTTTAAAAAAAAAATACTGGAGCTGGAGAGATGGTTCATTGGTTAAGAACACTGGTTGTTCTTGCAGAAGACCTGGGTTCGAATCTCAGCACCCACATGGCAGCTAACGACTGTCCGTAATTCCAGTTCCAAGGGACCCAACCTCTTCTGTCTTCCGCAAGCATTGCATGACACAGGTGCACTTACCTACATGCAGGCAATGCACACATACACATAAAATAAAAATAATATGCCGGGCATGGTGGTGCACGCCTTTAATCCCAGCACTTGGGAGACAGAGACAGGCAGATCTCTGTGAGTTCAAGGCCAGCCTGGTCTACAGAGTGAGTTCCAGGACACCTGGGGCTGCAGGGAGACTGTGTCTCAAAAAGACCAATAATAATAATAATAATAAAATAATAATAAATAGAATATTTTTAAAAAATACTAAATCAGGGGCTGGAGAGTTGGCTCAGTGGTTTAGAGTGCCTACTACAGCTCTTGCAGAGTTCTATTCCCAGCACATATATCAGGCAGTTCACAACCGCCTATAGCTCTTAACTCCAGTGAGATCTGACATCTGTGGCTTCTGTGGTCACTAGCATTCACGTGCATGTATGTGTGTCACACACACAAAAATAAATAGTTTTTTAAAAAATCTAAATCAGAGGAGCTGGGGACATAGTCTGGTTAGTAAAGTACCACTTAAGTGGACAGCATGCAGGAAGCCCTGAGTTTGATCCCTAACACTGAACAAACTGAGCATAGTGGCACACATCTGTAATTCCAGCACTAATGTTGTGGAGGCAAGAGGAACAGAAGTTCCAGGTCATGCTTGGCTATGGAAGTTTGAAGCTTGCTTAGGCTGCATATGACCTATCTCAAAACAACAAAAAAGTGGGGGAGGGACCCCCCAAGCCAGCCTAACTCTGATTTCATGAAAATATGAAGTGTGAGTACCCTTTATCCTTATCCTATCTTTCTCACACAGCTCAAGTCATTCCTCAGAACTGAATTTGAGTAGCTCTTCCTAGCTGCCATATTTTTAGTGAGATGATTATTTGTAGAGAGAAAAACTGTTTTCTCTCTAGATTCTCTGTCAAGGGAATAATGTATTAAATTATCAGACAGTCAACATTTTGAGCATTTGACCATCACTGTCTTGGGGAAACTAGATAGATACTACTATTTTGGCCATAGCTTCCCAAGGTACTTAGTTTAATCCTGGCTTGCTCACTGTCTACCTGTGGTAGCAAGAAAAATAAATGGCAGGATTATCTGCATACAGAATAAAGTATGTGATTTAGTTGGAAAAGGCATTAGTTTGTCCTGCAGAATTCAAATGAGCAGCCTCATTTATTGGCACTGTTACTATCCCACAAACACATTGTTATTGACTCCTTAGTATTCTGGCTGAGGGGGTTGGAGAGATGGCACAGGAGTTAAGCATTGGCTCAGCAGTTAAGAACAGTGGCTGCTCTCACAGAGGACCCCTGTTTTATTCCTAGCACCCACTTTGCAGCTAACAGCTGTCTGTAACTTCAGTTCCAGAGGGTGTTGCATGACACGGATGCACTTCTCACATGCAGACAATACACTCATACACACAAAATAAAAATAATTTAAAAATAAAAAAAAAAAGAAAAGAAAAGCCTAGAGTGGTGGCCCATGCCTTTAATCCCAGCACTCATGAGGCAGAGGCAGGCGGATCTCTGTGAGTTCAAGGCCAGCCCTGGTCTACATAGCTAGTTCCAGGCCAGCTGGGGCTACAGGGAAACTCTGTCTCAAGACTAAACAAACAAACAAACAAATAAATAAATAAATAAATAAATAAATAAATGTATTTTGGCCAAGACAGAACTATTTGCTCTTCAAACCTGGTTCTGTTCTAGACAATCTTTAATTTATGCCTCTTGCTTGTTTCCCATTTTGCTTTTGGTATCCAAAGATAAAAGGAAGAGTTTTAGAGAAAACAGGAATCTGTCATAAGCCCTTATTCTAACTGTGTAGAGAGAAGCATACAATTTTATATACATGCATTACTGGAATAGCAGAGAAGAATTGACATGTTCCTAGTTGTGCCAAAGTATTCTTAGCTCTCCATGCTTGGCATGGTTAATAAAAACTTAAAAGTGACCATGAGTCACTTGTGGCACATGTCTGAAAACCAATACTTGGGAGGCAGAAGGAAGAGAATTTCAAGTTTCATGTCAGCCTGGGCCACATAGCAAGTTCTAGGCCAGCCTGGGCTCCACGATAAGATCCTATCTGGACAGAAAGAAAGAAAAATACCTCTCTTTATTAGAATAACTCTGAGCATAGGGCCTTTGGAGCTAAGGTGATTGGACAGCATTTTCTGTTTGTTTTTAATGGGAGAATGGTGAAAAGAAGAGCCTAAACTTCTGTATGGTTATTCCCAATATATATACCAAAGCTTTCGTAATTGTTATCATTTGGTTCCTTTAGGTAGTAGTTGTTGGAGTGAGGATGAAGTAAAGGAAATTGCTGGTTCTTGGTTGTTTTTTTCTTTTTCTTAACAAGAAGCAGGAAGAGTTCCATAAGAAGGCTGAGAAGATGGCTCAGTGTGTACAGTGTCTACTGTACAAGCATGAGACCTGAGTTCATATCCCTAGCTCCCATAGAAAAACTAGGCACAATAGCACACATCTATAACCCAGTGCTGGGGTTGAGCCAGCAAAGACAGAAGGACCTCTGGAGACATTGACTAGCCATGCTGGTTGAATCAATAAGCTCTGGGTTCAGCAGGCGATCCTGTCTCAAAAAATAAGACAGAGGGCTGGCAAGATGATTCAGCAAGTAAAGGTGCCTGCTGCCAAGCCTAATGACTTGAGTTCGATCCCTGGGACTCACATGGTGGAAGGAGAGGAGAACCACATCTGCGAGTTGTCTTCTAATCTTCTTACACACACACACACAGACAGACAGACAGACACACACACACACACACACACACAAATGGATAAAATGTAATAATAAAAAATTCATTTAAATAAGGTGGAGAGTAATTAAGGATGATTCCTGCTGTTTATTTCTGGCTTCCATGCTCATGTGTACTTACATGCACACATGCACAAACCTACATGGACAGACACACACATACAGAGATATGAGCTCAGTAAGACCAAATTGAGTCTGGAGAGATGTCTTAGCTCTTAAGAGCACTTGCTACTCCAGTGAACCTAAGTCCAATTCCCAGCAGCACAGATAGATCGGCTCACAACCACCTATGACTCCAGCTCCAGAGGCTCCCCTCTTCTGGCCTCCACAGGCACCTGTGCATACATGAGTTACACACACACACAAATGAAAGATAAAATAAATTATGGCCAGGCATGGTGGTGTACACCTTTAATCCCAGCACTGGGGAGGCAGAGGCAGGCAGATCTCTGTGAGTTCAAGGCCAGCCTGGTCTACATAGTGAGTTCCAGAACAGCTGGGGATACAGAGAGACCCTGTCTCAAAAAGGCCGAAAAAAAAAGAGTGGAAGAACCCCTTTCTCAGTAGCTTTGTGCCTTGTTCAGGGTAATGAGATTATGAATTTGAAGACAGGCACAGTCAAGGTCCTGTCCCTTTCCACCCTGAGTACCAAGAGCATATATGTTCTTCCTCAGGACTTCAGTCCTTAGAGACTCAAGAATCTGTTCTTAGATACCAGCTTGGAACTTCCACAAAACAAATTGGAACTATTGAACTGTTCTACTGTGTGCTTCTTTGAACCCCTGGAAAGATATCCATAAGCAGCACCTCTGATGACTCAAATGCATGTTACGTGGAAGATCTTTTGTGGGATTTATCTATGTCGCTGGCTACTCCTGCCTTCTACCAACAGTAACTTCTAGGAGTCCTTTTATTTTAAGAAGTCCCAGCCAGGTGTGGTGGCGCACACCTTTAATCCCAGCACTTGGGAGGCAGAGACAGGCGGATCTCTGTGAGCTCAAGGCCAGCCTGATCTACATAGTGAGTTCCAGGACAGCTGGGGCTATAGGGAGACCCTGTCTCAAAAAGACAGAAAAAAAAAAAAAAAAGAAGTCCCAGAAGTCGCTGCTACCCTTCTGCTTCCCACTATTCTTGCATGTGTGGGATCATTGCAGGGTGTGGAGAAGAGACCACAGCCAATCTCAGCATCATGTATGTGGCTTCCCATCCACCTCTGGGGAGTGTGCTATTTTTCAGATTTGCTTCTGTGCCCTTTGTTATTGTACTGGATCATTCTGTCTGCTCCCATCAAGTCTTAGTTGGCCAGCCAACTAACAAGAAGACAGTGTTCATGCCTTTCCTCCCTTCTTTGGTATTAAGGGAATAAAAATGAACTCTCTCCTGGCCCTTTTGCTAAAGTGGTGGGTGGGGGGTGTTCTGACCACTGTGGTTTCTGCAGGGGAAATCGTGAAGGGCTGAGCCGCACCTCAAGCAGCCGCCAAAGTAGCACAGACAGCGAACTCAAATCCCTGGAGCCAAGACCTTGGAGCAGCACAGATTCAGATGGCTCTGTCCGGAGCATGAGGCCCCCTGTCACCAAAGCCAGCAGCTTCAGTGGAATCTCTATCCTCACCCGCGGTGACAGCATTGGCAGCAGTAAAGGTGGCAGTGCAGGAAGGATTTCTAGGCCAGGTACCACAGTTTCCTCCTTCCATTCTTTCCCCTTCCTTTCTTGCTTGTCTTCTGCAAAATATCTTTGATAACTTACTTTTTGTTTTTAATATTTATTATTTTTATTGTCTGCGTGTATGTGAGTGCACTCGTGTTGTGCAATGCCACGGAGGTCAGAAGAGAGCTTCGGATTCTCCTGGAACTGGAGTTAAGGACGGTTCGTAGCCGCCATGTAGGTGCTGGGAATCGAACCTGGGTCCTCTGCAAGAGCAATCAGTGCTCTTAACCGCTGAGCCATCTCTCCAGCCCCTGATAACTTACTTTTAACAAAACATTTGGTTGTGTATAGTTCCCTGGAAACTAAGAGCATTACCAGAAAAAAAGAAATCTGATTTCTTGGCTCCATTACCTGTTTTTGAATCTAGTCACCTCTCTGATTTTCTTGCAGACTTTTTGTTCTTACTTAGGAAGGAGGGAGGGAAGACTGTTTGGGATTAGGTTATTTTGTCTGTTCTCTGACTGAGGTTAGAGATCTGTATCAGCCCAGGGCCAGGTTACATACTAAGATAGAAATGACAGCTGCTTTCATTATGTGTCCCATGAGATTATAAAGAGTCTTTATAGAACAGGGGAAATCCTTGAGTCTGTTTATAATTAATTAGTAGTAGCCAATAGGCCAGAACTTAAAGGTGTGCTGCTATTGCTTCTTTACTGAATTTCAGTCACTGGGAAGGGAGCAGATCCTCATATCTTCCTCTCATCACCCTTCAGTGCTCCCGATCCCCTCTCTTTCTGCTACCGTCTTAACAGTGGAATGTTTAGCTCTCCATATGCAGTTAACTTGTATTTTACCATTCTTGTCCCTCCAAAGAATTGCTTGAATCTCATCCCAGAAGATTTCTATAGGTCCTGCCCTCAATAGACATCAGTAGTGGTGAAGATTTTTGCCTCTGTTAGATCTCTCCAGCCCTTATCTGTGTTAGGTCTCTTCTTTCCTTTTCTGTTATACTGTTTCTAATACCACTGCCTGTGTCTTTAACTAGCTCCCTTGCTGATCTCTCTGCTCTTTTCTCAGCCTTTTTCAGAGTCGATTTATTAATCTAAAACATAAGTCTACTTCGGTTCCCTCTTAAAAACATTAATGTTAGAGCCAGGAAGATAGCTCAGTTGATAAAATGCCTGCTCTGCAAGCCGAAAGAGTTGAGTTCGATCTCCAGCCAGGCATGGTGATATGCGCTTGTAATCCCAGCAATAGGAAGGTGGAGACAGGAGGATCTCAGGGCTCACCCGTTAACCAGCTTAGCCAAATCAGCAAGCCCTTTAAACAAGATGGATGACTCCTGAGCACTTGGGAGGCAGAGGCAGGTGGATCTCTGTGAGTTCAAGGCCAGCCTGGTCTACATAGTTCCAGGCCAGCTGGAGCTACAGGGAGATCCTGCCCCCCCCCCCGCCAAAAACAAACAAACAAACAAAAAATGTGTTGTGTGAATGTGTACATGCCTTAGAGAGCCTGGAAATGAAAAAAAAAAAAAAGTTGGGTAAAGATTGTGTGTATGTGTGATGTATGCTTGAAGAAACAAGCTGCCTTCTCAGCGGCTTTCTAAGAATATTACACAAGAGGAGAAGACAGCAAAGAGAAAATAGGTCTCATAAGGAACCAAGAATCTGCAAAGATTCCAGGCATAGTGACACACAGTACTTGGGAGGTAGAGGCAGGCAGTTCTTTGTGAGAGTGAAGCCAGCTGGGGCTACAGAGAGACCTTGTCTCAAAAAAAAAAAAAAAAAAAAAAAATCTGTGAAGATTCGTATTTTCAGCTATACCGTCAGGACAGACAGATTTTAGGCACTTCAGGGGAGATGCCTCAACAGCTTCACATTTTTTTTAGTTCTTAAATCAAACATTGACATTCAGGATGGCTCCTAACCCCAGGGAGCAGAAACCTGCTAAGAGGTAGACTCCTATCATCATCTCTGTAATACATCTATGCTAATATATAGATCTTTGACAACTATAGAGGGATAGGCAGGTGGGAGTGAAAAGAAGGGCCAGGAAAGTAAAGTCCTGCAGCTGGGCCCTTCAGGGATAGTCTATTCATGTCTTGTACTTACAAACTCTGGTTGGGTCTCCTCTTTGCCTTAGGTATGGCACTAGGTGCCCCAGAAGTATGCAACCAGGTCACCTCACCCCAGTCTATCCGGGGCCTTCTCCCTTGTACTGCCCAGCAGCAACAGCAGCAGCAGCAACTTCCTGCTCTCCCACCCACTCCTCAGCAACAGCCACCCTTGAATAATCACATGATCTCACAGGTGAGTCATGCTCAATGTTGGAGTCCCCTTTGCTCTGATTCAGGAAAGTCCTAGAAATGCAGTCATGTCTCATACTGTGGGTCGCAGAAAGGATCTGATTTTTGAAACATGCCACTCCTGCCTCCTTTCTCATTTATTAGTTGTTGGAAAAAAAAAAAAAAGATTGAGAGTAAATGTTTGGCAAAAACTCCCTTTTTGTTGTTGTTTTATCTTTTTGCTGTTATTTGTTTGAGACACGGTCTCATATAGCCAACACTGGCCTTTAAGTTCACAGCCAAGGATGACCTTAAACTCCAGATGTCTTGGCTCCACTTCCCAAGTGTTGGGATTATGTACATGGACCACCACACCTGGCTAGCATGGGAGTTTTGTTTTCCCTTTCTCCTTCTTTTTGTTGAGAATTGTCAGTGGGATCTTTCACCCTATACCATATTTCTACTGTACCCTCTCTACCTTTAAGTCCCGTGTAATTAGCAAGGTGATTTGCTCATAATACCCATCAAAGTCATAGCTCACTCTGACTAAATATGTTGACCCATAAACACATATTCATTTGTTGGGGTTTGAAGGGAGAAAAGAATAACACTCAAGATCTCAAAACACACATTACCATAAGATATAAAGACCAGCCAGGCATAGTGCCATAGGCCAGTAATTCCAGCACTTGGGAGGCTGAGATAGGAAGACCAAGAGTTTGAAGCCAGCCAGGGCTAATTAATTTGGGGATAGCCTGGAGTGTAGAGAAAGACCTCTGTCTCAAAAAATGGTGTTGGGGTAGGCTACAGAGATAACTCAGCAATTAAGAGCACTTGCTGTTCTTGCAGAGGACCTAGGTTTGGTTTCCCAGCACCCACATGTCAGCTAACAGCTGTCCATAACTCTAGTTCCAGGGAATCTGACACCCTCTTCCTGCCTCCATGCAGGCATAGACACAGGCAAAACACTCATACATTTAATTTTTTAATATTATAAAAAGATACAAAGATGCCAAAACTTGATGGTTGGACATATCATAAAAGGGCTGTATTTTTCTTCTGTTGCTGGACTGGTTGATGTTGGTGCTAACTAAGGTTTGAGAACATTGTGTTTCTGTGGAGACTCTAAATTGGAACCTTAATATTCTGAGCAGAGCTGTGCTCAAGTAGTCACTTCTTCTCTTATAAACAGAGCTCTTAGTGAGAAGAGCTGCATGTTTTATCCTGAAGCATTCTCTGGTAGTCAGAAACCCTATGACTATATTCTGCTGCAGTTTATAAGTTTTCATTTTATCTGCCAGACTCTTGGACCTGCTCAGTCAGTACAGTGTGGCCTTAGATATATCTCTTCTCTAGGTACAAGAAGCAGGTCCCAACCTAGTAACCCATGAACTCAAATGGAGACACTCAAATGGAGAGATCCCAGGATGGCCCAGAATGTCCCCATGTCAAATGCTATGAGCTAAAATAAGAGATAGTAAAGATGTAGGAAATTGTACTTTCTGTCTAACCCACATCACATCATTCCAGCCCTTCAGCCTAGTCCGTAAAGTAGTCTATAGTTCTGATTTCCTTGTTCTACCACCATCTGCCCATAAGTCTTATTTATATTGGCTTCCCTTGATCCCTATGCAACGTGGCCCATGTGTATGTACTTTTCTTTGCTTGTGTCTTAATTCAAACCCATGAATAAATAAACTCTGTTTCTTCCTCTAGGCATCTCCCATTGTGCTTTTGTATGTGTATGTCTCATTTTTCCAAGGTCCCAGCATTTTTTTTTTGGTCTTTTTGAGACAGGGTCTCCCTGTAGCTCCAGCTGTCCTGGAACTTACTATGTAGACCAAGCTGGCCTTGAACTCACAGATATCCTCCTGCCTCTGCCTCCTGAGTGCTGGGACTAAAGGCATGCGCCACTACGCCTAGTCCCAGCATTTTTTAAGTCCTTTTTTTTCCTGAAATGTGTATATTTTGATACAGTTTTGCTCCCTTTTCTGCCTCTTAGTCTCTGTCTGTACTTTTACCTGTCATCCATACCTAAGAACACACCGCAAGAATGGGAGAGGAAAAAAGATAAAAAAGAACCGTTTGGAATTAATATTTTAGGGTTAATTACAAGTGATAGGCCCTAAACCCCAGACTCCTACTCAGTCCTGCCCTTGTTCCTGGATTCTACAGTTCAGTGAGTAAGTTGTTGGTATGGAATGTGATGTTGGGTTAGATGCTGTAGATTGGGGCTGGGGGATCACTACTTAGGGGTCTCTGTTCCCTTAAAAGTATACTCTTTTTTTCTATTTATTTTTTTTTTATGTGTATGAGTGTTTTTCCTGTGTGTATGTAAGTGCACCATGTATGTACCATACTCATGAAGGCCAGAAGAGAGCATCAGATCTCCTGGACCTGCAGTTACAGAATAGTTATTAGTTGCCATGTGGGTGCTAGGAACTGAACCTGGGTCCTCCAAAAGACTAGCCAGTGCTCTTAACCACTGAGCCATCTCTCCACCCCTAAAAGTATACTCTTGAGGTTAATCATGACCACATAATCCAAAGCAATGAATCTTTTTTTTTTCTTTATGAGACAGGGTCTCACTATATAGCCCCGACTTGCTCAGAATTTGCTATGTAGACCAGGCTAGCCTCAAAGTCACAGAGATCTGCCTGCCAAGTGCTAGAATTTAAAAGCATGCACCACCATGCCCCACTCAGACCAAAGAATGTTATCCTAGCTAAGTTTCAGTGTCCTAGAAGCATTTTTGGAGGCTACTAAAGTTACACCATCACCCTATATATTTTTTCTCTATTTTACTTTTTCTCCTCTCTTCATCCCATTCTTCTCTTCCTGATGCCGCCCTCTTCCTTTATTTCTCTTACTGTTTCTCTTGTGGTGCTAGACTGCAAACCTAAGTCTTTTTCCTTCCTTATTTCCTTTCTTCCTGCCTTTCTGCTTTCCTTTTTTTCTTCTGGCCTAAGTGGCTGTCAGCAGTGTAGTACTGTCCAAACTGAAGTTGCTAGGGCCAAGAATAATTATTGTCTCTAGTTCCTCAAATGATAAAACAGTGTAGGAATGAAGGAAGTGACTACATATACACATACCATTGCACTATAAAGCTTTTAGAAGAAAAACTTTGAGAAAGAATAGTTACCTTTAGTGCTGTAGCAAGAGGGATTTGCTCAGTCCGAAGGGCAGTTCTGACCAAACAGCATTTTTACCCTTTTTGGCAGACCTCCTCCATCTGATTGGGCTTTCATTTCATGTGTTAGTGAAGCAGGTACCACCACTGAATGAGGCTGAGGGTAGAGGACCAGTGGCTGCCTTTTGTCCAGTTAATTTAGACTGTAGTAGACCTCTTGCAAAGGAGCCCTCTTGAATTTGTGGCTAGTGTCAAGACATCCAAGAGCCGTTGATCTATCCCAGAGTTCGCCAGTAGATGGCAACCATGTCCTCCTGGTGTCTCAGGTATCCTGGTTCTGGAGTTTGAGACTCCAAGAGTAGAACTGTAGCTGAAGGTAATGGCAGAATAACAAACGAGAAAAGTAGCAGTGAGGCCCTACCTTTACTATTGCCCTTCCTGGTGAGAGGAAGCTTGGAGAACATCATCTCTCCTCACTCTATTTAAAACTCCCAGGTATGAGGAAAACAGTTATTTTATTATTTTACCACTCATAAGGCCTGTACCAATTTAAGACCTCTCCCAGGAGCAAGAGAAGGATTAAGATAATAGAAAATGTGTTTAGGAGCAACCAGCATTTGCAGCTAATGTTGGGCAGTTTGGCCAGCAGTTACATTTGGAATACCATTGGCTTACAGAAAACAAGGGTGCTAATAGGACTGAGTTGATTTTCCAGATAATAGCAGTGTCTCTTCCAGGTCACTTGAGATTCTCAAATTCTTTTTTTTTTTAATATTTATTTTTATTTTATGTGTATGAGTGTATTGCTTGCCTTTAGGTAGGTACACCCATGTCATGCAGTGTCTGCAGAGGTCAGAAGAGAGGGTTGGATCCCCTAGGACTGGAATTATAGACTGTTGTTAGTCCCCATGTGGGTGCTGGGAATCGAACCCAGGTCCTCTGCAAGAGCAGTTGGTGCTTTTAACCTGAGCCATCTCTCCAGCCTGATTCTCAGATTCTATTAAAAAATATATTTTTTATTTTTTTTTAAACTTTATTGAGAATTTCATACATGCATATAAGGTGTTTTTGGTTTGGTTTGGTTTGGGTTTTTTTGGTCTTTTTGAGAAAGGGTCTCCTTGTAGCCCCAACTGTCCTAGAACTCACTCACTCTGTAGACCAGCTGGCCTTGAACTCACAGAGATCCGCCTGCCTCTGCTTCATGAGTGCTGGGCTTAAAGGCATGTGCCACAGCACCTGGCCCAGTATATAAGGTGTTTTGATCAAATCCATGCCCACTCCCTCCCCTCTAATACCTCCCATATCTCCCCATCACTTTTTTCTAACAACTTCTCCTTCCTTCCTTCCTTCCTTCCTTCCTTCCTTCCTTCCTTCCTTCCTTCCTTCCTTCCTTCCTTCCTTCGGGGCTTTTTGCTACTCTAACATTCCCCCCTCTGAAGAAGTAACACTAGAATCTTTTTAGGGGTTAGATAAGAGCTCCCAAATACTTTTGACATTTTTGGCCTTTGGAACAGAGTATGTTGCTAAGAGGCCCAAAGACATTTTGACTTTTAGCCAAGAAACTGGCTACTTTGGAGTCTTTTTACCCTAACTACCTAGCCAATTCCTACTCCTATTCTTATCACACCATCCTCTGAAGAGATTAATCATATTATCGATAAGGAATCGGGACACAGACCACTCTGGCTTCTTCCATGCTGAGCAGGGACACAGGGTGAGGCAATTGGAGTATCCCTTCAGTGGATCTATCTAAAAGACTCCCAAATTGCGTAAGTCTTATCACCATGTGGGGGCAGGATTCAGGCTCTCTCAGATGGGTCCCATAAGTTCTCAGCTCCTATGCCAGAGGGAAGCCGGAACAGGCACCATATTTTATTATTTTTATTTTATGTGTATGAGTTGCCTGCATGTGTGTCAGTGCACCTGTGTCATGCAGTGCCCGAGGAAGTCAGAGAGGGCATTGGATCCCCTGGAACTGGAGTTACAGACAGTTGTTGGCTGCCATGTGAGTGATAGGAACCAAACCCAGGTCCTTTGCAGCAGCAGCCAGTGCTCTTAAGTGCTGAGCCATTTCTCCAGCTGAACCATTTTTCTAGTCCTCTCAGTAACTTCAAATACCCTTTTGAGAGCCTTCTAATTCATAGACTCTTTGCCTCCTGCACAATAAGTTACCTCTCTTAGAGTTTTCTGGGGCTGGAAAGTTGGCTCAGATATTAAGAACACTGGCTGCGCTTGCAGAGGACCTGGGTTCGATTCCCCGCACCCACATGGCTGCTAACAACTGTCTGTAACTCCAGTTCCAATGGATCCAACACCCTCTTCTGACCTCCGAAGGCATTGCAGGACATAGGTGCACTTATATAGATGCAGGCAATACACTCATACACATAAAATAAAAATAATAAATAAAATGTTTTTTAAAAAGAGTCTTCTGGAGATTTTGTGGTAGGATATCCATACTACAACCTCCATATTTCTTAATGTTTTAAATGCAGAAGGAGGAGTCAGTAGGAGATGCCAGAGAATTCTGTTTGGCTTTTTCCTTTACCTCTTCCCTACTCTTAGTGTAATCCTGGCAAGAACACACGTCCTGCAGAACTAGGCTTCAATCTCACCTCTATCATTTAGCTCTGTGATCCCAGGAATGCCCTTCAGTTTCTCTGAGCCTTATTTGAGGGGCAGTGGATGTCTGGGATTGAGCCAAGGACCTTGCACATGCTAGGCAAACACTCTACTTAGCCTCATTCCCAGCATGAGCCTTATTTTCATAGTTGGAATTGTAAGCTTGTGGCTCTAGGTATTCTTATAAGGCTGTCGTGAAACAGTGTGTATAAATGGTATTTCCCTTTTCTTCCTCACCTCTCTCCTCTCATCCTTTCTCTACCAGGGACAATGACTGGAGAATTGATTAGACAATCCAAATGAGGAAAAAATAGCTGCCCATTAATTGGTTTTAAACACTGCGTGTTCCTAATAAGCAAATTCTCTTGCTTAAGGGTAGTGAAGGTACTGAAGAAATAGAAACCAAAACTAACCTGTCATATTTTACCCTGAGACTCCTCTTTGTTTATGAGGGCATTTTTCATACTGCCCTCACAGCCTGGAAGAGCATAGAAAACCATGGATCAAGAGGAAGTTGCTGGAAGCAAGCATCTACTGGGTGTTTATTCCTTTTCTGCCCTCCGGAGGGAGATGATCCCTGTGAATGAGAACTTCCTCCAGGAGAGCTGCCCTTGGATGATCCTTCCTCCAGAAGTAGTCAAGCAGTACACATAGGAATCCCATCTCAAGTGGGCATTTAGGGAGGTTTTTGATTGAGGTCCCAGGGGATCATGGGCTCAAGACAAAAAGTACTTTGGGAAAGTTTTGTTTGGAATCAGGTCGAAGACCCTGGCCCTGATAGTTCTCAGATTACTCACAACACCTGCAGAGTTCTAAGTGGCTAATAGGACAGAGTATAATGGTCTCCCCTCTAATAGAGATTTTTTTTTTGTCAGAAGTATGGAAACCACAAGCTGTCCTAGGCCTGGTTGTCAGCCTGCTCAGTGGCCTTGTGATTCATGAGAAATACCTTTTATGATTAACCATGTTGTTCCTCCCTTTCCCTCCCTCATCTGTGCCCCCCCCCCCGCCTTTCCTTGTACCCTCCTTTTCTCTTCCTTTTCCACATGCCTCTCTGCTGGTCTACAGCCAGTCCCGGCCCTGCAGCCCTCTCCGCAGCCTGTTCAGTTCTCTCCAAGCTCCTGTCCCCAAGTCCTTCTGCCAGTTTCTCCACCCCAGCAGTATAACATGGTATAAACTCCATTCTCCCTTTTTGTCTTGTTCCTATGTGGCCTGTTTTTGTGGGTATGTCTGGGTCAGTCCATGGTGGCCTTGTAAGCATGTTGTACTTTGGAGGGGATATTAAAAAGCTGTTTCTTGAGGGGCTAGCACAAGCTGAACTAAATTCCATTCTGATGGCCTTATCACAGCATATCAAAAGACAAGTAAATGTATGACAGGGATGCTGAGTTCCCCAGACTGTCAGTAGGAGGAACAAAGTGGGATCTTAATCTAACTAACCTAGGCCTGTCATCTCTCTGTCATGTGTATCCTTCATCCAATTTGCTCCCAGTTTATTCTATACGAAATGATTCTCTATAATTTCCTTTCATTGCAGACTCAGGTACTAATGGTTGAAAATCTTAAATCTTACCCATCTTACTGTGTCATTTTATATCCTCTTCCAATATGTGGTACGTGCTGTTTAAATATTTGTAAAGTGGATGTAGTAGCACATACCTTTAATCCCAGCACTTAAGAGGCTAAGACAGAAAGATCGCCCTGAGTTTGAAGCCAGCATAGGCTAAATACTGAATTCCAGCCCAGCCTGGGATACAGTAAGACCCTGTCTCAAAAATAACATATACATACATACATACATACATACATACATACATACATACATATCCTTGGCAAATCTGGTTTGCCTCATAGTTGTGACTTCATCGTGCTGATAAGAGCCCTTACTTTTTTTACTTTATGTTAATTGCACCTCTTTTTTACTTTTTTACTAGAATTCCCTTTTTCCTCCTACCTCTTACCTCCATTCTGAAAAGTGCTGGAATATGGACCTCAAAATAATCTGCATCTAGTCCTCTTGTCATCTATTCCTGACCAATAAGGTAGCAAAAAAGTTCCCTGAAAATTGGATGAAACTACAAGGCAACATTTTTCTTTTTGTATCTACTATTTTCTTTTGCAAAAGAACTGCTCTGGTGTGTGCATATGTGTTTGTGTGTGAATTACTGTCCAGAGAGTAAAAGAGAAGAGGAAGCTAAGACTAACCTATCAGCATACAAGTAAGAGATGGAACACCAGCATCAGTGCTGCTTAGGAAAGAAGACTGAGAGAAAGGTAATTATAGCCTAGCCAGTCAGTCTCCTCCTCCTCCAGTTCAGCCACTCATCCTGGCCTCCTTTCGGAGGTGAGAATTGGAAGTGGTTTCTGAAGGGCAGGAAAACTCTAGGCTGGTGTCAAAGAACAAAGGTGGAAATAACCTCGAAAGGGAGTAAGAAGATAAGCAGCAGGGGTGGAGCCACCAGTCCTTTGCTGTGGAGGCATAGGAACCTAGCCCTCCAGAATCTACTCAAGGTGTTGCTCTAGCTACTTTATTGTAAAAACAGGATTTATAGCAAGGCAGGAGCCTTTTTGTGGTTAGGGGCTGAGGAATACAGGAAATGAAAAGATTCTTAGAATCTTTTTCTTTAACCCTTAAGTTTGTCCTTTATTTTTCTATAGATATAAATTGTGTCCTGTGCGCCCATCTCCTGAGGACTAATCCTAAAAACAGTCATAATCGGGGTAGCCATTGTTATCTGTTTAGTAGATATGCTGGCTCTGAACTTAGGCTTCAGGTAACCATTCAGTTTAAAACTATTTAAAATATCATGACAGAGTTTTAGGGCTAAAAGACACTTTTCAAGGCACAGAGGCAGGGCTGTCCCAAAATGGTGTGAGTAAGGTTGTAGAGCATTGCTATTTCTCTCTCTGTGTTCTTGTTTTTGGTTTTTAGTGTATTTGAGACAAGGCCTTGTGTAGCCCCAGGCAGGCCTGGAACTCAGTTTATAGCTGAAGCTAACCATGAACTCATGATCCTTCAACCTCCACCTCCCAAGTGCTGAGATTGCAGGTGTGTGCCACCGCACCCAGCTCTGTCTGTCTTTATTGACATCAAAAGCATGAGGTTTGATAACAGCTCAGTCCATGAGTCCTCTACTGTCTCAACAGGCAGATGACCTCAGCAACCCCTTTGGACAAATGAGCCTTAGCCGCCAAGGTTCTACTGAAGCAGCTGACCCATCCTCAGCTCTGTTCCAGCCCCCACTTATTTCCCAGCATCCTCAGCAAGCTAGCTTCATCGTGGCTTCCACTGGACAGCCTCTCCCCACTTCCAACTATTCTACTTCTAGCCATGCACCACCTACTCAGCAAGTCCTGCCACCCCAGGGCTACATGCAGCCCCCTCAACAGGTAAGTAGCTCCCTTCCCCAGCTTTAGTTATTAATTCAATTTGTCCAGTATTACAAACCTTTCTTCCTTTAGTTTAGACAGAGCAGGAAGGAATGCTGTCCTCACACTGTATGTTTTGAGAGTTACCATTCTACCAGAAGGCCACTTTTCTGTATAACACAGATCTTGTTTTATTTCAAACTTGTATAGTAATCCTGTAACTACAAACCCCAAATAGCTCTCCAAATAGAAAAGATTTTTGGTCATCAACCCTGAGGCATCTAGTAATTTGCAGTGTGTTAAGGCTGATTAGCAGGTCCTCTCACACCTGTTTCCTTTCACCATAGATCCAGGTTTCTTACTATCCCCCTGGACAGTATCCAAACTCCAACCAGCAATATCGACCTCTCTCTCACCCGGTGGCCTATAGCCCCCAGCGTGGTCAACAGCTGCCTCAGCCATCCCAGCAGCCTGGTAAGAGGAACCACTGGTTTGAAACAGTGTACATAAGGGAAGGGCAGAGACTAGGGAAGAGAAGAATTATCTTCCCCATTGGGTGGGGTGGGGGTGGGGGGTAAGAAAGAACCTCCAGAAAAAAGAAAAAGGTAAAATAGAGTGGAGAAAGGTAGTCACTGCTGTAGGGTGACCTAACCATCCATACTAATGTCACCTATGTCTTGCCTATCCCTAGGTTTACAGCCCATGATGCCTAACCAGCAGCAGGCGGCTTACCAGGGCATGATTGGGGTCCAGCAGCCTCAGAACCAGGGCCTACTGAGCAACCAGAGGAGCAGCATGGGAGGCCAAATGCAAGGCCTGGTGGTTCAGTACACTCCACTGCCTTCTTACCAAGTGGGTACATTCTGTGTTGAGAAAGATCACCGAGTCCTTGGGATGAGACAAGAACAGCCTCCCAGGGTCATGGGAGATTCTAATACTGAAATATCATCTGCCTCCCCCAACCTCTAGGGGTACTTTTTTCTCTGAAAGAAAGCCCAGAAAGTTTGAGAAGTATCTTTAAATTATTTGGTTTCCTTATAGCCATACAAATGAGTGTTATGTATGTCCAGGAAACTGGAATCCAAAGGAAATCAGGCTTCTTCCTTGTGTCAGATGCCTAGGGTGGTGTCTAGAGAAGGAAGAGATGGAGATGGCTCTGTGAGCATTTCCTTTGGGCAGATAAGGAGTACTGGAAGAGACTCTTATGAGCTGGGGAGGGCATTATAATGCCCCGAGCTAGTACTAAGTAGCCTGTTCTCTGGATGAGCTCAGTGAGATTACCAGTAGTCGTGCTCTTCTCCATCCAGGTCCCGGTGGGCAGTGACTCACAAAATGTAGTCCAGCCACCTTTCCAGCAGCCCATGCTGGTCCCTGCTAGCCAGTCTGTGCAAGGAGGCCTCCCTGCAGGGGGTGTACCCGTGTACTACAGCATGATTCCACCGACTCAGCAGAACGGTACGAGGTGAGGACTGCTGGAAAGGCAGGGCATATCTCCTTCATAGACCTTCAGCAACTGTCAAAATGTGCTTTTGTCTCCAGTGGCCTAAGAAACCAGAAGTAAAGATCCCAGTAGTAGCCTGGCATGGTGGCAGACACCTGTAATCCTAACACTTGGGATGCTGAGGCAGAAGGATTACAAGTTTTAGGCCATCCTGGACTACCTGGTGAAACCCAGTTTTTTTAAAAAAAAATATTTTGTCTATTGTTTTTATTTTATGTGTATGAGTGTATTGTCTGCATGTGTGTAAGTGCACCCATGTCATGCAATGCCAGAAGAGATCAGAAGAGGATGTTGGATTCCCCTGGAACTGGAGTTACAGATGGTTGCTAGCTGCCATGTGGGTGCTGAGACTCAAACCCAGGTCCTCTGCAAGAGCAACTGATGCCACTGAGCCATCTCTTCAGCACCACCACCACCCCCTTTTTAACAGGGGGTTATTCTTTTCTCTTCATTGATATGATATTTGCATAGAACTTAGCCACAGAAAAACTGCCTCCTTCAGTGAAAGAGTTTAAGATGTTACCCAGTTTTTTTGTTTTTCAAATCAGTGAGACTCAAAACTATAAGATAGAGACCGCTTCATCGTTAAGAAACAATTTTGGTGGGACTAGAAAGCAGTTAAGAGCACTGGCTGCTTTTGCAGAGGACCCCGGTTCTGTTCCCATATGGTGGCTCATAACAGTTTGTAACTCCAGCTCAGGGAAACCAATGCCTCTTTGGTCTCCACAGGCACAGCACACATGTGGTACACTTGTATTCTTGCAGCCAAACACTCATAAAACAAAATTTTTTAAAAATTTTTATTGATTGATTGATTGATTGGTTGGTTGGTTGGTTGGTTGGTTGGTTGGTTGGTTGATTGGTCTTTTTGAGACAGGGTCTCCCTGTAGCCCCAGTTGGCCTGAATTCACTATGGAGACCAGGCTGGCCTCCTCACAGAGGACCAGCCTGCCTCTTCCTCCCAAGTGCTGGGATTAAAGGTGTGCACCACCACACCCGGCTATTTATTATTTTATGTGTATACACATATTGCCTGCATGCCAGGTTTAGGGACCATGTAGTGCAGTGCCTGTGGAGGTCAGAGAGGCTGTTGGATCCCCTGGGACTGGAGTTACGGACAGTTGTTAGCTGCCATTTGAACCAGGATTTGAACCCAGGTCTTCTGCAAGAACAGCCAGTGTTCTTAACCGCTGAGCCATCTCTCCAGCCCCATAAATTTTTTAGCTGGATTTGAACCCAGGTCTTCTGCAAGAACAGCCAGTGTTCTTAACCGCTGAGCCACCTCTCCAGCCCCACAAATTTTTTTAAATATTTTATTTATTATTTTTATTTTATGTGTATTAGTGTATTGACTGCATGTATGTGAGTACACCCATGTCATGCAATACCACAGAGATCAGAAGAGGCCTTTGGATTCCCCTGAAACTGGAGTTAAGGACAGTTCGTAGCCGCCATGTGGGTGCTAGGACTCAAACCTGGGTCTTTTGCAAGAGAAGTCAGTGCTCTTAACTGTGAGCCATCTCTCCAGCCCCACAAGAAAAATTTGGGGTTTTTTTTTGTTTTGTTTTGTTTTTGTTTTGTCTTTTTGAGGCAGGGTCTCCCTGTAGCCCCAGCTGTCTTGGAACTCACTATGTAGACCAGGCTGGCCTTGAACTCACAAAGATCCTCCCTGCCTCTGCCTCCAAGTGCTAGGATTAAAGGCATGTGCCACCACGCCTGGCAAAATTTTTTTTTAAAGAAGTAATTTTGGGATATGTCAGTATAAAATTTTTGTATACCTTTCTTATCCTTTTTTTCTTTCTGTAGAGAGAATGGGGACAGTTAGATCATAACCTATAAGATCATAGTGTTAGAAAGGACGTCTTCCGAATAATCTAGTCTACAACCCTTGTTTTGTTTCGGTTTTATGTTTATTTTTGAGGCAGGGTCTCGCTACATAGCCTAAGCCTAAAATAGCCTTAAACTCTGTCTTACTGCCTCTGCCTCCAAAGTGCTGGGATTAAAGGTGTGCACCACCACCACACTTGGCCTCTCCTTTTTTTAAAAAATATTTTATTGATTATTTTTGTTTTATGTATGAGTGTATTGCCTGCATGTATTTGAGAGCACCCATGTCGTGCAGTGCCATAGAGGTCAGAAGAGGGCTTCGGATTCCCGTGGAACTGGAGTTAAGGATGGTTTGTAGCGACCATGGTGCTGGGAATCGAACCCAGGTCCTCTTAACTGCTGAGCCATCTCTCCAGCCCCTCCCCCACTGCTTGTTGTTGTTTTGTTTTTGTTTTTTTTTTTTGAGACAGGGTCTCCCTGTAGCCCCAGCTGGCCTGGAATTTACTCTGTAGACCAGACTGACTTCAATCTCACGAGATCCACCTGCCTCTGCCTCCTGAGTGCTGGGACTAAAGGCATGTACTACCACGCCCAGCTCACTCCTTTTTTAAGTGAAAAAATTCCAACTAGGAATCTTAAACTTACAAGTCACACATTTGGTTAGAAGTGCAGCTGAACTAGAACCAGATGATTGTGTGTGTTTCTGTGCATCCATCTCCACTGCCTATTTGTGTATCTCTGTCTTTTATGTGCATTTCTCTGTGTTGTTTTGAATTTTTCAGTATTTTTTCCTGTTTGTCTCTAGGTGACTCCCAGTGTTTATCATTGGGTATACATCCTAAATCCTTCATCTTCTTAGTTCTTTTTTACTCTTTTCTCCCTAGCATTGTGGTCTATCCCTGACTTGCTTTTCCTGTAGTTGTTTCTAGACTCTATGTGTTTCCATGTATACACATATATATGCCTGGTGTCTGCATGCCATTGAGAAGAGCATGTGTCACTAACATTCCATATTTAGCACTGATTAGCAGCTTCTTAATTGAAAGATGATCAAGCACAAATATATATAATTAACTTTGAACTGATGAGTGATTTTAGAAATTGCATGGCAAATTGGTCTGGGAATGGTTTGGAGCTGCTTCTCTTTCCCACATGGGAGGCCTAGGAAGCAGCTGTTGGCCCGGAGCTGTGTTCCTCCCTCTGTCACTTCACCACTCCTCTCTTCTCACCTCCCAGCCCTTCTGTGGGATTTCTGCAGCCTCCCGGCTCTGAGCAGTACCAGATGCCTCAGTCTCCCTCTCCCTGCAGTCCACCACAAATACCACAGCAGTACTCAGGTAAGAAGATAAAGAATTGGGGGACGGGGGAGCTGGAGAGATGGCTCAGCAGTTAAGAGCACTGACTGCTCTTACAGAGGACCTGAGTTCAATTCCCAGCACCCACATGGCTGCTAACAACTCCAGTTCCAGGGGATTCAACGCCCTCTTCTGGCCCCTGTGGGCACTATAAGAAACAAGTACACTAATTTTTTAAAATTTGGGGAGGGCTTGAGCACCGACAAGGGCAAACACTATTGAAGAGCTTGTGTTCTAATGCTGTGAAGGGTTCAGAGATCAACTGTGACCTTATCACAAAGAAAGACCAAAGTCTTGACTGAGTGTAGGGGTTCATGCTTTAATCCTAGTACTCAGGAGATGAGGCAGAAAGATTGTGAGTTTGAGCCACATCTATTTGTTGTTCTTTTTTGTCTTTTTTTTTTCCCTTTTGGTGAGCCCACTGTTAAACATAAACCTTTGTGTTATAAAATACTTACCTCTGTCTCCTGCACTCATTTGCTTTAGACAGCATTTCTTTTTCACTTGGGAACATGAAGAAAGTTGAGAAATGCTTTTTAAGTCACATCATACATCTGTTTAGCAGATTTTAGTGTGCACTCACATATATTGTTATATTTTCATTCTGACCACAGCTTTGTTTTGTTTTTTGTCTTTTTGAGACAGGGTCTCCCTGTAGCCCCAGCTGACCACAGCTTTGTAAGGAGAAAATTTAAGACTTAGATTAAATGGCTTACCCTAAGGTCGCAATCCTAGAACTTGAACTTGGGTCTTTTGACTTTGTGTGTCCTATGCTGTATCTTCAACACTAGATTTTCAGCAGGCTTTGTGCTCTATCCTTTTTCCTTTAGTGGGAAATAAATGCACTTTATGTTAACAGCTATAAGCCCTCTCCAAAGGGACCAGCCAAGCCTCGTGAATAGATTTATGTCATGTGGCCAATTGCTGTCTGCTCCCAGCATTCGAAGAACAGTTGCCCTTGTTCATTTCCCTTTCTGCCCTCCCTGGACAGAGCAGCCAAGTTAAAGAAACTTCAGGCTCTGCTGGACTCAGGCTCTGTTTGCCTCAGGCCATTCCTAGTCTATTCTGTTATGTGGATATCTGAGTGCCCTCTTCTGGTGAGAGCGAGCTATTTTGCCAGTTTCCCCATTTAGAAATGAAGTATTTTTCACCTAATATATTTTACACTTTGACTTATTAACTGCTATGGGGCAATTAGAAAGTTAATCTTGCTCCTAAGAGATGATATATTCTTATTTTTAAGGTGCAGTAATGATTCTGATTTCATCCAGACCGTACATGGATCTCTTATAGGCTAGGATTTTAAATTCAACGTAGGCCAGGTGTGGTGCACATGCCTTTAATCCCAGCACTCAGGAGGCAGAGGCAGGCAGATCTTTGTGAGTTCGAGGCCAGCCTTGTCTACATATGAGTTCCAGGCCAACTGGGGCTATAGGGAGACCCTGTCTCAAAAATAAAAAATTTTAAAAAAATAAGTAAATGGTCAACAACCTTACCCTTTATTATATGAGTGGTCTCCCTACCTGTTTCTTTTACTGTCTGCCAGGGGCACTTGGCCTTGAAATTCCCAGTAGAGTATGGAGATTTTAGGAACCATTTCCAAGAACTACTGTGTTCTGTAGTGGTGCTTGGTACCACAGGGCCTTTCTCTCTCCTGTTAAGATGAATGTGTGCAAGTACATAAGGATAAGGTTGTGTGTGCATTGTTCACGTCCTTTGTGGTATGTCATTACATCTCTTGGGTCTCTGGTATTTGTCTTTGGATCAAAAACAAAACAAAAAATAATTTTTTTGCCAGGGGGTGGGGGAGCTTTTTGAGACAAGGTTTCCCTGTGGCTACATATGGCCTGGAACTTGCCATGTACTCTAGGATGGTCTCAGTCTCACAGAAATCCGCCTAGCCCAAGAAAAAATAATTTTTCATTACTTACTTGACTTAGTACTGAGTTAAGTCAACTAAAATATCTCTTCTGGAAAATAACAACACTAGAGTTCTGGGCTCAAGATGGAAGAAGGAGGTAACAGGCTTCCTAAATCAGAGGAAATGAGGAAACCCTCTCCATCATCTATTTTCCTTGCTTCTTTGGAATTTTCCCATTATATTTCCTTTTTTCCCTGATTGATCCTAGACTTCTGACTGAGCCCTTGTACCCTTCCCAGATGGCGGGACCCTCTGTTCTACCCATGTCATCTAAAAGACCATGTTCATGTAAATAATTGATTTTTAAAAGCTTTTAATCCCTGCTCATGGAAATCTAAGAGGAAATAGAAAAAGAGAAAACATTGCCTTTTCTATCTTCTTTTCCAGTTTACTGTTAACAAGGAAGACAGATGGTGGGACTGGCCCACAAGGGCCACTCTTTCACCTTCAGAGGACAGGCACCCGTCCTCTGTTCATGTAGCGGCATGGTCACTTTTCCAAAAATAAAGGCAGGGATTAGGATTGGCTGTTCCTGGAACAACTGTTATGGTTTATTAATACATTTTTGTAGTTGCCCAGTTTATCCCCAGGCCTGGACTTTAATTCTGCCACTATGATACTAGATATAACTATAACTCCAGGAAATACTTTGATTCCCACTAAAATGATGGCTTGCAGGTCCCTTGTGGTTTCTGCAGGAATGCCTGTCTAGGGAAGATGCACACAAACATGAAATGGCAGTGATAGCTGTACACAGACTCCAACTCACAGTGACAAAGCAGCATGGACAGCATGAGACACACACAGAAATAGCCTCTCACATACTGGCTCACTTTTAAACTCATTTTTAAGAGTTTTTTGTTTGTTTTGTTTTTGGGGTTTTTTTGTGACAGGGTCTCCCTATAGCCCCAGCTGTCTTGGAACTCACTATGTAGACCAGGCTGGCCTTGAACTCACAGAGATCCACCTGCCTCTGCCTCCCAAGTGTTGGGATCAAAGGTGTGCGCCACCATGCCTGGCTTTTTTTTTTTTTTTTAAGAGTTTTCAAAGCTGAATCTATTCTCTTCCACTTGAAGAAGATCTTCCTCTCCCCCACCAAAAAAAGGAAGAAAAAGACCAAGATTCTGATTTCTGTCCTATAATTTTTATTTCATTTGTTTGAATATTCTTTTTCATAGATTGGTTCCTGGTGGTAAAGAAGAACCCTATCAGTTTTCTCCCTTGGTGATTTTTTTTTTTAATCTAAACAAAAACGAAAAACAATTCTGCCAGACATAAATGTCATCTGTTTGTATTTATGTAGTTTGCTCTGCCCAATCGACCTTTCTGCCCAGGTTTAATGATGCCACTTAAAAAGCCATTCACATGTTCCCTCTCCTTTCTGAGCTTTCAAGCTGAAATTGATTTCCTTACTTAGCCCCCTTCTTCCTCTTCCCACCTGCTCTCAACCCAGGCTTCTTCCCCAACCTGATAATATGGAAGTACTGTCACTGGACAGTAGGGGTTTTTTTTGGGGGGGGGGTTGTTTTTTTGTGTTTTTTCTTTTTTTCTTGCCAAAGCCATTAAGAAGTAGGGACAGTTCAGCTGCTAACAGATGCCCCCTGCTTTTGGCTTGAGGAAGAGAGGCAAGAAAATCAGCTCATCAGCTAGTAGTGCTCTGTGTCCTTGGTTGAGTGAAGGAACAATGCTCCAGGCCAGCAGGGGAGGACTGAGCATGGGGAGGAGCTCAGAAGAGACACTGCAACCAAGACTCCTGGCTTTTTGTTGCTGTTGTTCGAATCAGAGAAAATAATACAAGGACTTTGTCCTTTTTCTCTCTCCCCCTTGAGTCCCCAGCAGCTCCTTATCGCTGCATATTAGTATCAGAAAGCGCTTCCTCTGTCCTGCTGATAGTTTTATGTAGTATACAGTCACACATGTCCCACTTTTCCTGGCCCAGGGCATTAGGATCAGATTATGAGCTGCCTTCTAGAAAAGCTGAGATTTGATTATTTTTGCGTTGACCCCTCAGGTAGCAATGAGGAGTTTGAATAAGGTCAATTGCAATTTTGTTGGTAGAGGATGTTGAGATGGATGGGGTTCTTAAGATGGGGAAATAAAATGCCCAGAGCAACTATTGTAAGGGGAGAGTTGTTTATAAATTCATGACTCTCCACAACTGTGCAATTTTCCTGTGGCCCTTCTATAAGCCACACTGATGAATACCCTGTCCCCTTTGGCAGGGGATAGGAGATACTAGCCTATTGCACTAAGTATTTGTCCTCCCTGACTGAGTGAACCCTAGAGGGTGGGGTGCACAAATTGGCTGGGGACTAGAGTCCAACAGCTGCTGTGCCTTCTGAACTGCTCTCTCAGGCCTCTTGCCTTTTCCTTCCCTATGACCAATACTATCTGAACAAAACAATCACACTCACCTCCGAGCATGACTGGCCCAGAGGCTGTCGCATTTCTAGTCGTAGGCAGCAATGTGGTAGTAGTGGAGCCGTGGCAACACTGAAGCACCGAACCATGAAAGCATCAGCATCGCAGCAGGCTTTTGAGCTAGTAACCTAGCTCCCATTTCTCTACCACAGCCTCAACAGGAATACAGCCTGGAAGGTCAAGAGCAAACCTTCATGCTGAACACTCCCCTTTGGGGAAGCAAAGCTCCTGCCTATTCCTTCCAGCAGAGACTGTCTCCCAGCAGAGACAGTCTCCCTGACTCCTTATCTTTTTACCGTGAAGAAGATTGGACTTAATGTTCCTCCTCACTGTGCCCTTTCCTTCCTCTACCTTGTTGTAGGGGAAGCTGTCCATGTAACCAGTACCAAAACGTCAGGGTCACATCCAGTTGGGCCCCTGAACCTGCCAGTAAAGGCATCAGAGGGTCCTGACCCTCCTACTATTAGGCTCTGGCATTATTCTCATTCAGAACCTCCTATTCTGTTTTGCAGTCCTACCACTGGACTCCCTCTCTTTATCAGCTTATATTTAGCCAAAGCAAATACAAGATCTATTCTACAAAACACCAGTCCTATGCCAATATCTCCAGGATAGAGACCAAGCATCTTACCAAAATGCATCTCAGACTCTGCTGTCAGCTATTTGCTTAATATAGACTGTCCATTCTATGAGGGCAGGGACCAGGCTTGCTTATTGTACACTCAGTGCCCAATATAAGAACTGGCACATAGCAAATGTCCAATAAATGTTTGTTGAATAAGCTTCTTATCTTCTATTGTTTTTCATACAGGGCACCTATATCTTAGCACCTCAAATCATTTGTCATTTCCTGAATATGACATATATCTCCAAACTATTCCCTCTGCTTGAAATGTTTCTGTGCTCACCCCATTCTTGACCAAGAAGTACTTTTTAAGTTGGCTTAGTGAAGCTGTGAGCATTCATCTTTTCTAGAACAATCAGAGTTTGCTGACTTACCTGCAGTTCTTACAGAAAACCTTGTCTGTCTCTGAAGCCCTGCCCCATGCCCCAGACCAAGACTAGTACCATGCCCAGACATTGCAGCAGTCTGCCCTGGGTATTTGGTAATACTCAACTTTGATAGAATGGAGTGATTTTTCTGCCTATCATAAGAAAGTGTCCCCTACTAGGTGAAGGCCAGGAACATTGGCATCTGGTACTCAACCTCTTTTCTACTTAAGCTTCTGGTGGTTGAAAGAGAGAATCAGAAGTCAAATCAGCAACTATCTCGGATTCCTGTCAGGACACAGTTTGAATGACCCTGAAGCCAATGGGTGGATTTGCTTGCTGGCTTTTCCATTCAGGAATAACTGGATGGCCAAAATACAGTTTGAATTCCCAACCAACTGCTTTCCTTATTTCACTCAGGAGTGTCACCTTCTGGACCGGGTGTGGTAGTCATGCAACTGAATGTCCCTAATGGACCCCAGCCACCCCAGAACCCATCTGTGGTCCAGTGGAATCACTGCAAATATTACAGTGTGGACCAGCGGGGTCAGAAGCCTGGAGACCTATACAATCCAGACAGTAATCCCCAGGTATATCCTCCAACCCAACCTTGTCCTGGTAAGGAAGGTTACAGATTCTTCCCAGGGAGCAATCTTACACATCTTTCCCTGGATATTTTGAGGGAAGAACACAAAAATAATAGCACCCAGTTTCAAGGAACCCAGCATCTAAACTTAGGAAATAGACCACATTAAACAATACTTAAGAGAATATTTAAAATGGAGGGGCAAGGAATAAATATAGCTCAGTAGATCCCTTACCTAGTACACATGCACATGTAAGACTCTGGGTTCCATCCGACAGTACACACACAAATATTTAAAATGGTTTGTTGGGACTGGAGTAGATGGTTATCTGAGGAACAACACCCAACATTGACCTCCAGCCTCCACAGAAGCATATATACATGACTGCATACATAAACATGTATATGTACACATACACAGAGACAAAACAACAAAATGGTTTATCAAAAGTAGGTATTATAGTACAAAGTAGGCTGGAGATGTAGGTGAGTGGTTCAAAGCTTACCTAGCATACATGTCCTGGGTTTGATTCCCCAGCAATGGAAATAAAAACAATAAATAATAATAAAACTAATTAGGGAATAAGAACACAGTTTGAAGGAGCACTCTGACTTGGGCAGAGTTCACAGGACTATCTTATTTTTTGAGTGGTGAATTTAAAGTCAAACCATAGGATAAAGTATTTATGTGGTATGTACTCCTCTCTTTCACAGGCCAACACACAAATGAGCAGCAGCCCCATTACGTCTCCTACCCAGTCTCCAGCACCCTCTCCTGTCACCAGCCTCAGCAACGTCTGCACTGGACTCAGTCCCCTGCCTGTTCTCACACAGTTCTCCCGGCCTGGGGGCCCTGCACAGGGTAGGGGGTTAGGTTAGGGTGGGCTGTTGTGGAACTCCCTGTTCACATTCCATTCCAAGGTGAAAGATTAGAAGATAGCAATAAGTAGGGAATCAGTAGGGCTTACCCAGTTCTAGGAGCTACACCAGCCCTCCTTTACGTATTTAAAATTTACCTCCAAGTAGGGTAAAGAGATGGAGGGGAAAAAAGCTCTTTCAACTTTCTAATGAATAAAAGAACTGAACCTAACATAAGTACTGATCTAAGGCCTGGGAATGTGAGACTGGTCAGAACAATATGGTTTGTCTTTGTTTGGGGAATTTTTTTAGATTATTATGTATTTCTTTTGTGTCTGTGTGTACTTGTGTGGGTTTATATGCACCATGTATATGTAGGTGCTCATGGAAACCAAAGGGCATTGGATCCCCTGGAACTCCAGTAACACGTGGTTGTGAGCTACCTTATGTAGGTGCTGGGAACCAAACCCAGGTTCTGTGCAAGAACAGTTAATGTTCTTAACTACTGAGCCATGTCTCCAGCCCCAAGAACAATACGGTTTTAGAAGATGGAACACTGGATTTGGATTAACAGACTTGGGTTCCAGTTCTAGCACAAACTAGCTTTATTATGTTGAATAAGTTACTTCAACTCAGAACTAAGGCCAGGCGTTGTGGTGCACACCTTTAATCCTAGCAGAGGCAGAATCAGGCAGATCTCAGTGAATTCAAGGCCAGCCTGGTCTACATAGTGGGTTCCAGGCCAGCTGGGCCTACAGGGAGAGCCTGTCTCAGAAAGACAAAAATAAAATCAAATAAAAGCCAATAACAACAAAAAAAACCTCAGAAGTGGACCTTAGATTTCTTATCCATGAAATGGGGTTAATCGTACATAAGATGGGGGTAGTCTTGTTGCCTTCTGCTTTGGCAATCACAAGTAGTCTAAGAATAAGATTAGGATGTTGTTTAAAAAAAAAAAAACCTTGAAAATGCCCTGAAATACAATATTTTATCAATTGTAAGTTACACAGTACTTAGTGTATACCATCCATTTCTACATGTCATATTCATTTAACCTTCCAACACCACCAAAGAGGAGAAAACACCCCACATTGCATTTCTAGTACCAGCCAGTACTTTTGACTGGGCATTTTGGTACAAGTCTGTACTCTGGTCTGTCATGCTCTGCTATAGCCTCTAATATAAATGGGAAACTTGGGAGTTTGGGGATAAGGAAACCTACAAAATAGATAAAAGACATTCATAAAGCTCTAAAGGTTTCTTCTCCGGTCAGCTCTCTTTTTTGTTGTTGCTGTTTTTATGGAGACAGCCTCACTTTGTATCTCAGGCTAGCCTAGAATTCACTTTGTAACCTAGGCTGGCCTCAAATTCAAGGTGATCCTCCTGCCTCAGCTTCCCCAGTGCTAAAATAACATGCCTACCTCTTCACTGGTCTATTTCATAGTGTCTTTTTATCTACAATGGACAGAACGCAAAGTCTTGTTAATGAGATACCACTGAGAGTTTAGGAAGACACACAGCTCTTAACTCGGTCACATGGGCACTCCCATCATAGTAAAGTTAGGAACAGTATGTGTTGCTATTTATCTCCAAAGCTACCTGAAATCTCATAATAGTCATACCATGAAACTCAGGCTCTTAAAAAACCATCTGTTCTTGCGTGGTGGCACATGCCTTTAATCCCAGCACTCGGGAGGCAGAGGCAGGCGGATCTCTGTGAGTTCAAGGCCAGCCTGGTCTACATAGTGAGTTCCAGGACAGCTGGGGCTACAGGGAGACCCTGTCTCAAAAAGACCAAAAAAAAAAAAAAAAAAATCTGTTCTTACTCCCTAGGTGATGGACGCTATTCCCTCTTGGGTCAGCCATTACAGTACAATCTGTCCATCTGCCCTCCTTTGCTCCATGGCCAGTCAACTTATACGGTGCACCAGGTAAGGGTGTTCACCCACCAGCATTAGGGCCATCAGAGCCCCCTTTTCATCTGGGCCCTTGGTCAAGCCACCTGCTTCAACCAGCTGGGTACACACAGGAGGTAACACAGAATGGACAAAGCAAGAAGACCCTTAGCTCCCTCTTTTACTCATAACTCCCACCCCAGTGCCAAAAGGGAGGAGTGTTGTACGTCTCAGTGACCACTCCCTGGGCAATTTGACTACCTGCTGAAGTAGAGTCCTCAGGGTGGATGCTGTTCCCCAGTTTCTTAAGGTGACATTGGGACATATGGCAGTCAATGTTGTTTACTTGGGATGAGAGTTATATTGACTGTTGAAGGGACAGAGTGGATTGAAGCATGGAAACCGGGGCAAGAGACAAGCACCCAAATCTGCCTCCACTGACCTGGGGACAGCAGACGTTGGTGAGTAACAGGATGCCAAGACCCGAAAGGAAAGTACCCATCTCTCCAGACTTTTCATTTCTAGCCCAGGATAGTGGGAAAGCCAGTTTAGAGTAGGAAAATGGAGGCCTCTTTGCTTAAGAGCAAGCAGAAGGTGGAGAACTATCTATGTCCCTGAGTAGCCATCCCAGGTTCTGAGGTAGGCCATCATAGAAATGTTGAATACCACAATGATAGGAGTGGCTAAGCCTCTTGTTACAAGCTGTCTCCTGTCCTGACCCTTATCTAGGATATCTCCCCTTGGTAGTTCTAGAGAATTTGGGAGAATAGCATTCTTCCTGTAAGTCTTCCATGTTAGGCGTACAAAGTCTTTTGGGATTCTTTAATCTGCAGCTGTTGCCTAAACAAGCAAAGAAAGGGAAGGGCAATAAGACCTTCCAAGATGATAAGAAGGAAGGCTCTATCTGGACCAGCCTCTGGATGGGAAGGGAACTGTGGGACATGTTTTAGACTGATCCTCTGACTTTTTTATTAAAGACTGTCAACAAAGCTACATTACCTTCATAGTAGTGATACCCTGTAAAAAAAAAATCCAGGTGTAGGTTCCCAGATCAGAGACCTGAGATTCTAATTAGCAGTCCCTTCTTCTATCTCTGGGTTAGAAGAAAAAAGTGCTTTTTTTTTCTGGGTACCCCAGTCAGGGTCGAGGCGGGGCAGTTGGGTTGATTTGGGGAGGGAAGATGGCTAAGTGGGAAAGGTAGGGCTTTTGAGGGCATTATATACAGGCTTGGTCCCCTGAATACTACTATACTAGGCCACTGTCCAGTCCTTACTCTGCCCCTCACAACCTTGTCCTCTTTCCTCCCCTTTTAGTGCTGGGACGGGTGCTGGAGGTGACAGATCTCCCTGAGGGCATCACACGTACAGAGGCAGACAAACTCTTCACTCAGCTCGCCATGTCTGGTGCCAAGATCCAGTGGCTTAAGGATGCTCAGGGGCTGCCTGGTGCAGGTGGTGGGGACAACAGTGGGACTGCCGAGAATGGTCGTCACTCGGACCTTGCTGCCTTGTACACCATCGTGGCTGTATTCCCCAGCCCCCTGGCTGCCCAGAATGCCTCCCTTCGCCTCAACAACTCTGTGAGTCGCTTCAAACTTCGAGTGGCCAAAAAGAACTATGACCTGAGGATCCTGGAGCGAGCCAGCTCCCAATAAATGGAGGAGGGGAAGGAATTGGCACAATTAGGGTGGAGGCAGCATAGAGGGAGCCAAAGCAGGAGGACTCGGCCAGAGGCAGGAAGTAAGGAAGATAGCCACCAAACTGGAGCCTACCACATTACGGCTGAAGAGAAAAGCAGACCTCTCCTCACACTGGCACTGGACTCCTTTCTCCCTTGCCATGAGTCCTCTTTTTCCCTGGTTGGTCCCCCTTTGTTTCCCTCTCCTTCCCATTCTCTTCTATCATTTTTTGAATCTCTTCTCCCACCATGAAATTAATTTCTTTTTTTTTTTCTTTTTTTTTTTTGGTCAGGTAGAATTGAGAGGGTCCCACACTCCCCTCTCCTCCAATTTCCTTACCATTCCAAGCCCCCTTTCCTTTTTTGGTCTTCATGAATATATTTATATGGACAGAATTAAGAAAAATAAATTGATTTCCCCATTCTCTCACTCCTCCCATCTCATCTCCCCAAACCCTACAGAGTTAAAACTTGGGACCCCCCAATCCCCAGAACACTTGTATATTGTTTGTTTGAGGTTTGTGCCGCAGTAACAGACACAGTATTTAATTGCACATACAGATGTTTGCTGGGTATATTCACTGTAAATTTTATTTAATCTGGTTTTTTTGTTTGTTTGGGGGGTTACTTGGAGGGAGGTTGGTTTTGATTTTAAATATAAAAAAACTGTCACTGGACACCAGTCACTGTTTCTCTGTTGCTTGGTGCGGGTGGGGCTGGAGGTTCTGGGTAGGTACAGACCCACAACTACTGGAAGGGTTCACTGTAGGTTGGGCGTTTTCCCTAGCATATGGACATCTATTTTCCTGACCCTCATCCTTCCGATCCCTCCTCTTCCCTGAATGCAATTCTAATAGATGGCTGGGTCTCTGTGGAATCTTGGCCTGGGGCTCTCTCAACTCTGTTGCAAGTTGCTGTTCATCAAGCACATTGCTTCTCAGTTCTGGGCCTTTGTGTCCGCATCAGAGGCTCCTTCCTGCCCATTAATTCTGCTATTCATTATAGCCCTTGCCACTGAGCTGGGGAGGGGTGAGTGAAGTCCAGAACTGGGTCAAGATACTAACCTCATTCCTATCCATCTAATCTTCTGAAAACCCTTCAAAGATGGAGAACTTACACCCTTAATCCTGAAGCCAAAGGATTGTGTTCGTGGAAGAAACACAAGTGGATGTTTCTTACAATAAATCTACACCAGCTGAACTTCCAGTGCCAAGATGCTGTGTTACCCAGGCACACATTCAGCAGTTCATGTTCCATGCAGCTACAGAAAACTAAACAACAGAAGTCACCCACTTTTCCTCTGTCTGGAGATTCTTAAGGCCATTTCTGTTGGACAGCCTGGTAGGGCAAGGACATTAAAGAACCTGTAGACTCAGATCCATCCAGTACTCCCTTTTCTTTTTCATTTGTTTTTGTTGTTTTGAGGCAGAGTCTCACTCTATAGCCCAGGCTGGCCTCAGACACATTGATCCTCCTGCTTCAGCCTCATGAGTTCTGAGATTATAGACATGAGCCACCAGGCCCAACCTAAAACCCTGAAAAAACAGAAAAGAACAGTGGGTAGAAAATGACATAGCACACTACCCTGGAAATCTCTTGGGTCTGGGTAACAGTATCTCTGTCCAGCCTTCTCCAAGAGCTTATGTGACCCAGCTTCCAGTGTAGTCCTTTATTTCTCACACATAGACTCTAAACACCTTAACTTTGCTGTCCTGTAGGATCTTTCAGCCATGGGATAATCCAAAGAGTAGAGAAAGCTATATCCCTAAAAGAATGTCAGCCATTTGCCTTTCAGTTCATACAGCCTTTCAGTTCATACAGCCTTTCAGTTCATACAGCCTTTCAGTTCATACAGCCTTTCAGTTGTGGTATCAAACGTGAGATGTAGAATTGGAGTCAAAAAGATTTAGGAATATAAAGCTTGGCCATCTTACCTTCTAGAGTTTGCAGTTCTCATGGAGAAAAGGACATTATTTACAAGTGATAAAAACTCACTATGGGGTGAGATGGCAGAGAGGTTAAGGACACTGATGCTCTTGTAGAAGACTCAGGTTCAGTTTCTAGGGAGGTTAAGGACACTGATGCTCTTGTAGAAGACTCAGGTTCAGTTTCCAGCACCCATATGGTAGCTAACAACTGTCTATAGCTCCAGTTCCAGGGGATTGATCCATCATCATCTTCTGGCCTCCACAAGCATTGCACACATGAGTACACTTACATACATGCAGGCAAAACACTCATACACATAAAAATTCTTTTTAAAAACTCACCATAGGACACGCTGGGCATAGTGGTGCACGCCTTTAATCCCAGCACTTGGGAGACAGAGGCAGGCAGATCTTTGTGAGGCCAACCTGGTCTGCATAGTAAGTTCCAGGACAGCCAGGAGTACAAGGAGACCCTGTCTCAAAAAGAAAAGAAAAAAAAAAACACCAAAAAAAACCTCACCATAAAGAGCTTGGTACCAAGCCTGATAACCTGAGTTTGAGTCTTCAGAACCACGTGGTAGGAGGAAACCAACTCTTGCAAGTTGCCCCTTGATCTCCACATGTATGCGGTGGCACGTACCCATACACTAAATCAATTCATCAAGGCCCAGCAAGATGGCTCAGGTAAAGGTACCTACAGCCAAGCCTGATGACCTAAATTCAATACCCAGGACCCACATAGTGGAGAGAACCAACCAGTACTGACTTGCTCACCATAAATAATCAGAGAAGAGCTACTCTGGGGGATGGGAGGAGTTAGGGTCAAGCCCTGCCCCAGACATCCCCGTTTCCAATTTCTCCCAGTCAGCTGTGCTGCTCAGCTGTCCTCTCCCCTCCAGCCCTGTCATTTCAGCTCTGCCACCAAGGTGAAAGGCTAGGAGGCCTACGAATACTGCGTGGGTAGCTGGTGTGAGTCCAGAGGGTACTGGGGGGCTTAGCCCCAAAGGAAGAGGACCAGCCCTCCCCCAGCACCATCATCAAGGCCCCAGGGATCCCCTCTTCTCTCCACAGACTGTGGACTGATTTAGGGAGTCTCAAAAGTAAGTTTCCTCTTCATCCTCTTTTCATTTCCCCCATTCCTAGTCTACCCAGCTGCTTCATTTTTTTCCTTGGTTGTGAGTAGTTTGGGTTTTAGAAGTGAAATTGTTTTACTTCAGGATGAGCCAATTAGGGTTGGGGGTGGGATGGGGTGGGGTAAGGCCAGGGAATGGAGTAGTAAGGGAAGCAAAGGCTCATATTACTCTGAAAACTTAAAATAGCTAAGGCCTGAGGCAGGCCAGGACAGAACCAGGCACAAGGCCCCTGGGACTCAGGAGAGAGGTAGGGGAGAGCAAATCTCTCAGGCCTCTCTCCATGCATGCAGGCAGGGACACAGGTTAAAAACTCTTGAAGCCGCTGGGAAGGTGTCATGTCAATCATCAATGAATACCTGTAGGAAAATCGCAAAGCCAGGCAGCCTTTAACATTGTATTGGGTTCATAAACTCTCATGCTGCCCCTTGAGGTGGTAAGATACCAGTTTTAGGAACTTGTTGGGAAGTTCTTTGGTCTGTTGGGCTTTTTTCTGGACCATAGAATCTGATCATAAGCTCTACCAAAGGCTCTCTTGTTTAACCAAGTTTCTCCCAAAGCCTCTCTTCACTGACCACCCTTCTGTAAGGAGCGGAATAAAGGAAAAGAAGAATGGCAGTCAGGGATTAGATATCATAGTGGGGTCCAACCTCTTGCAGGATGACAGAAAAGGAGGTGCTGGAGTCCCCTAAGCCCTCCTTCCCAGCAGAGAATCCTCAAAGTGGGGTGAGTCTGGGCCTTTGACCACTGGGTATGGGGGGCTGGGAAGCCCTAACAGTCTCTGAAGAAAACTGCTTGTATTGATCCCACTTGTGCGTGACTCATTTGTGTTAGGCTATCTAGGCAACAATTGCAGCCCCCAATCCTGTAATCCTGGAGCACACTGCTTGTCCTATGCTAGAAAAAAAGAGAAGGCGACCTTCCTTTTAAGACTGGTTTCCTTCACTCCTTCCCTCAGCTACAGCGGCTGAAGCAGCTATTCAGGAAGGGCTCTCCAGAGACAAAGGAGATGGAGCTTCCCCCAGAGCCCCAGGCGAATGGAGAGGCAGTGGGAGCTGGGGGTGGGCCTATCTACTATATCTATGAGGAAGAGGAAGAAGAGGAGGAGGAGGAAGAACCCCCCCCAGAACCTCCTAAGCTTGTCAATGACAAGCCTCACAAATTCAAAGATCACTTCTTCAAGAAGCCAAAGTTCTGTGATGTCTGTGCCCGGATGATTGTGCGTGAGTCTTGAAGGGAAGTGGAGAGTACGAGATGGAAGGCTCACTGGGGGTGGGGAAGGGCTTAGGAGTGTCTTTAACAGACCATGGCAAGATTCACCTTATGAAATACTGTTTGAGATTGACAATGTAGGGTCCCAAAAAAAAACCAGATCAGAGCTAAAATAGCTGGAGTGGTCCAAAGGGAAAGGGGAAGCCAGAACCTTACTCAAATGTTCTCCCCCTCCAAGTCAATAACAAATTTGGGCTCCGCTGTAAGAATTGCAAAACCAACATCCATGAACATTGTCAGTCCTACGTGGAGATGCAGAGATGCTTCGGCAAGATCGTAAGTAGGCTGTAGGGAACAAAGTGGAAGGGAGGGCACATGTGCATCAGTTACCTCTTACTGACCCCTCAGGTTTCCCTTACATTTCCCTGCTTTTTCTTTCTCAACCAGTCTATTACTCTGAGAAAGAGTGAGCACTCATTGGGGAGGTGGGATTCTGGGCCCTACCTTGCAACTTCTAATGCTTTCCCATATCCTATCCTACAGCCACCTGGTTTCCATCGGGCCTATAGCTCCCCACTCTACAGCAATCAACAGTATGCTTGTGTCAAAGATGTCTGTAAGTGCCCATATGACTTGAGGGAGTGGGCAAGTCTCAGAGATGGTTTTATGCCGCCTCTTTGGAAAGTAAATCTGAAGTGAAATTATTCTATTTCCACAGTTCTCATTCTAATATTTTAATAGTTATTTGGGATACAGCCATTACTTTTTGGTTTATAGTTGCATGAGATAAGAGTTTGTTAGCTAGGACTACAAACAGCCAGAGACAGAGCCAAGACTGAAACCTTAATCTACTTTCAAACCATTTCTAAGTAAAAAACAAGGATTCAGGGGCTGGGCATGGTGGCGCACACCTTTAATCCCAGCACTTGGGAGGCAGAGGCAGGCGGATCTCTGTGAGTTCAAGGCCAGCCTGGTCTACATAGTGATTTCGAGGACAGCTGGGGCTACAGGGAGACCCTGTCTCAAAAAGACAAACAACAACAAAAAAAAAAAAACAAGGACTGTTCTCATCCTTGTTACTGAGTGATACCACACTCAGGACCAGACCAAGAGCTGTGGATATCCTGAACAAGTTCCTGATTTAGCAACTCTTAAAGGTGTATTCATGGGGCTGGAGAGATGGCTCAGTGGTTACGAGCACCTACTGCTCTTGCAGAGGACCCAGGTTTGATTCACATGGCAGCTAACAACGATCTGAAACTCCAGTTCCAGGGGATCCAATGCCCTCTTCTGACCTCTGGGGGCATTGCACAACATGAGTGTACTTATATACCTGCAGGCAACACACTCATACACATAAAAGTTTTTTTTGTTGTTGTCTTTTTGAGACAGGGTCTCCCTGTAGTTCCAGCTGCCTTGAACTCACTCTGTAGACCAGGCTGGCCTTGAACTCACAGATGATCCGCCTGCCTCTGCCTCCTGAGTGCTGGGATCAAAAGCGTGCACCACCACGCCCCGCAAAAATAAAGTTGGTTTTTTTTTGTTTGTTTGTTTGTTTGTTTTGGTCTTTTTGAGACAGGGTCTCCCTGTAGCTCCAGCTGTCCTGGAACTCACTATGTAATTCAGGCTGGTCTCAAACTTACAAAGATCTGCCTGCCTCTCCCTCCCAAGTGCTGGGATTAAAGGCATGCGCCACCACACCCAGCAAATAAAGTATTTTTAATGTGTTCATTGAAGCCAGGCATGGTGGCACACACCTTTAGTCTCAGTAGTTGAGAGAAGGAGACAGGCATACCTCACGGTTCCAGACCAATCAAGACTACATAGTAAGACCCTGTCTCAAACAAAGAAAATATATTCATTTAATACTTGATCAAATTTATTTGGGAGAGAGAGAGGCCAAACTCTGTGAAGAGCATGAGAGCAAAAGAATACACTGGTGCGGGCTGGAGAGATGGCTCAGCAGTTAAGGGCACTGACTGCTCTTGCAGACGACCCGGGTTCGATTTCCAGCACCCACATGGCAGCTATGAACCATCCTTAATTCCAGTTCCGGGGGAATCCGAAGCCCTCTTCTGACCTTTGTGGCATTGCATTACATGGGTGCACTCACATATATGCAGGCAATACACTCATACACATAAAAATAATAAAATATTTTTAAAAATACACTGGTGCATAGCACATCAGCTTGCACACATGCCCACTCCACAGAACAAAAGCCAGCAGCAGTATGATAGTGATTCCAGGCATGCCCTGACTCCCAAGAAATGGACCATATAAGTATTCTGCCTAGAAGGAGGATTCCTGAGACATAGTTACCCCATTTCATTTCCAGTGATGTCTAGAGTCCTATATAGATTGGTGACCTAGGTACTACACAGCTGGCCCTTCCCTGTCCTTCCCACCTCTGATTCCCAAGTCCCTACAAGTACACATTGAGTCCTAGCTGTCTCTTCCTTTAGCGGTCCCTCTAAGCCCTTTTCTACCTCCCAGTAATGTCTTTTCTCCTCCCATCCTGCTAGCTGCTGCCAATCACAATGACCCTGTGTTTGAAACTCTGCGCATCGGGGTGATCATGGCAAACAAGGAACGGAAGAAAGGACAGGCAGATAAGAAAAATGTGAGCACCATATGTCCCCACAGAAGCCCCTCCCAGAAACTCAATGGGACAAGTCATTTCTCCTTTTGGAAAACTGACGGAAGTTACGGATCCTCGTCCCTCGAGTGGCACATAACCTAACAGAAACATTTTTATATGAAATTTTAGATGGTTTGGGGGGCTTTATGTACCTCCCCATGAGCCTCAGGTTAAGAACTTCTGCCACAGCATTGAGACTCTAGTTCAGTGGCAGAGTACTTACCTAGTATGCATGTGTAAGGTCTCCTGGTTCAGTCCTCAACCGTGAAAAGCAAATTCACTCCTGCTATGGAGTAATGCTTTCTCAACTCCCTTCTAAAATTGACAGGTTAGGTTCACAAAAGGCTAAGTCCCAGGCCTGGCATTGTTGGATGACAGAGGTAAAAGCTTTGCTCTTCCATTTGGGAACTATAGTCATTTCAAGTTAATGAGAGAATTCTAGAGCCATGCAAGTATCCATGAAGATTACCTGGTGTGGTCTGTTCATCTTATAGATGAAACTGACGCACAGAGCTAGTGGTCAAGAGAAACCTCGTTGTGTTTTAGAGTAGAGTTACAAGGTTGGTAAGGCCAAAAATGTGTGTTTGGCTCAGCAGGCAACTAATATCTCTCTGGACAACCAGATGGATGAAGATGGATGGATGGTGTTAGAAAGATTCCTAACATTGAATGGCAGGGGCCAATAGGTCCTGGTGTTTTAGGAGTGTCCAACTAGAGAGAAGTTTTTGTTGCTTTATAATGTGATTTGGCCCATGGTCCTCAGCCTTTTTTTCCTTATTGATACAAATGAAGACTCAAATGGCATAGTCTCTAAGTTAATGAGGAAGTTAGAAGGAAAAACATACACACTGAATAGTCTTTTAAAATCTTATAGGCCAGAAGAGCCTAAACTAATGATTTAAACTTTTATGTTGAATTAATTAGTTTTTAGATGTATTTGATTTTTAATTATATGTGTGGGGGGAGGGGTATGTGCATGTGATTTCAAGTGCCTAAGTAGGCCAGATGAGAGAATTGGATCCCCTGCAGCTGGAGTTAAAGGTAGTTGTAAGCCACCTGTTGTGGGTGCTGGGAACCCACCTTAGGTCCCCTACAAAAGCAGTAAGTGGCCGGGCTTGGTAGTGCACGCCTTTAATCCCAGCACTCAGGAGGCAGAGGCAGGTGGATCTCTGTGAGTTCAAGGCCAGCCTGGTCTACATAGTGAGTTCCAGGACAGCTGGGGCTACAGGGAAACCCTGTCTCAAAAAGACCCCCCTCCAAAAAAAAGGCAGTAAGTGCTTTTAACTGCTGAGCCCTCTCTATCCAATTCTTATTTATTTTTCTCTTTCTTTCTATATAAATTTTTTTTTCATTTATGTGTATGTATGTGTGTATGTTCATGGAACCCACAGAGGTTAGAAGAGGGCATCAGATCCCCTAGAGCTGGAGTTGTCGGCAGTTGGCAGCACCCAACATGGGTGCTGGGAACTGAACTCAGGTCCTCTGTAAGAGTACCAAGTGCTCTTAACTGCTGAGCCATCTCTCCAGCACCCTCCCTCCTTTTGGGGGGATAGGATCTCCTGTAGCCCAAACTGGCCTCAAATTCTCTGTAACTGAAGATGATCTTGGACATCTGATCCTCCTACCTACATCTCCAGAGTTCTAGGATTACAGATATTTGCCACCACACGTGGTTTATGTGGTGCTAGGAATCAAACCCAAGGCTTCATGCATGCTAGGCAAGCACTCAGTCAACTAACTACATCCCCAACTCCCATTCTGTTCTGTTCTATAATATTCTATTTTATTCTGCTCTGTTCTGTTCTATTATTCTATACTCTTCTATTCTGAGAGTCCTGTGGTGTGCAACAGGCTGCTTGGGAATTGCTCTGTAGCCTAGGCTGGCCTTGAATTCATGATCCTCCTGCCTTAGCCTCCCAAGTGCTGAGATTATAGGTATGTACCGCCATGCCCCACTTTAATAATTTGAAATTTCATAAGAAAAAATTTGCTTTTCTTGGATAAAAAAATATAACTGCCTAGAAATAACTAGCAATCTGCCTTCAGAGTTCTTGATATAGAGCTTGGGTACAGAAAACAGATTTCTGTCAAGTGAACTATGAATTACAAGGCTGTTTCCAGAAAGACTACCAAACTCTTGAGTTCTGTTCTCTGAAGGGAAATATGAAAACTATGTTGCCAGACAGGTGAGGTGATGCATGCCTGTAATCTCAGCATTTGGGTGGCAGGAAAATCAGGAGTTCAAGGTCATCCTTGGCTACATAAGGAGTTTGAGAACAGCTGGACTGCATGAAATTCTGTCTCAAAAAGAAGGGGAGGAGGAAGGGAAGAAATATAAGGAGAAAACTGTGCTTCTTCCCCCTCCTCCTTTTTTTCTTACACACCAAGTATTTTTAAGGGCAGACAGTATAGTGAAAGGCCTGGAATCTGGATCATAGGTGTTATTTGAAAGAACTCATTGGGGAAGAAAAGCCAGAAAGGATATGTAGGCTGTCCTTCAATATTTAAGAGAACTATGTTTGCTTCACCTTTAAAGCTCCAGAGGGCAAATAATACCAATAACTAAATTAGATTACAGGGAAGTTGACATAGGCTTAATATAGGAAATCCTCCCAAATTGCATGGCATTTTATTGTAAAGTAGTGAACTCCCTGTCATTAGCTATATTTAGGCACAATGTAAGTGACCTACCTGCCAGCATATTTCAGAAGAAATTTCTGCATTAGGCTAGACTAGATATTTTCTCCAAGTATTCCAACCTTGAGATACTATTATTCTACAGCTCTCTGGTCTGACTCTCCGGAGAGGCAGGGCAAACATGGGTTCCCAAGATAGCATCTCTCTAACTCTGGTGTCCCCTCCAGCCTTTAGCAGCCATGATGGAGGAGGAGCCAGAGTCAGCCAGGCCAGAGGAAGGCAAGTCTCAGGATGGTGAGTGTTATCTCCATCCTCAGAGATGGGGTGAGGTGGGTGTGGTCAAGGCTTAGCTGCTTAGGCAGTTGGAGAGGGAAAGGGTAGACCCAGGGTTTGGATATAAAGAGGCCCTCCAACACAAGGGAAAGGGAATAAGGGCTGCCCTCCAGGAGGCAGAAACAATTGTCCATGCTTCCCACCTCAGGAAACAACCCAGAAAGAGACAAAAAGGCTGAGAAGAAGACACCTGATGACAAAGTGAGAACCTCTTCTCCCTCAAGAACCTTAGTCCTCTCCCCAACCCAGGTTTGACATCACTCACATCAGATGTTCCCATCACCTCCATCCACCCTACACACACACACACACGACACAAAACACTCAAATCAGATGCTCCCATCCCCTCCATCCACCCCACACACACACACACACACACACACACACACACACACACACACAAAACTCTCACATCAGATGTTCCCATCACCTCCATCCACCCTACACACACACACACACACACACACACACACACACACACACACACAAACTCTCAGCTCAGAGACCTGGAAGAGGGTTGGTTTAGGGGCCTGGTAACTTATTATCCTCTTCCACCCCCAGCATAAGCAGCCTGGCTTCCAGCAGTCTCATTACTTTGTGGCTCTCTATCGGTTCAAAGCCTTGGAGAAGGATGATCTGGATTTCCCGTGAGAAGCCTTCAAGGGGCGGGGGGAGATTGTGGGGAGTACTGGGAAGTGAGAGATGAACTCTCTATGGGAAAAGGAGAAAGAGTGGGAGTCTTGGCTTCCCTATTGCAGCTGGACCTGGGGCACAGCCAGGAACTAGTATGCAAGTGTAAATAAGGTCCCTAAATCTCAGAGGGCTCTCTGATCCTGTCCTAGGCCAGGAGAGAAGATCACAGTCATTGACGACTCCAATGAAGAATGGTGGCGAGTAAGAAATGGCAAGGGCTAAGGTGGGATATGGGTTGAGTCCAGAACCTGAGAGATTCAGTCTACCACTGCTCTCTTCAGGGGAAAATTGGAGAGAAGGTCGGATTCTTCCCTCCAAACTTCATCATTCGAGTGCGGGCTGGAGAACGTGTGCACCGAGTAACGAGATCCTTTGTGGGGAACCGTGAGATCGGACAGATCACTCTCAAGAAGGACCAGGTAGGGGGCTGGAGAGATGGCTCAGTGGTTAAGAGCACTGACTGCTCTTGCGGAGGACCCAGGTTTGATTCCCAGCACCTACATGGTGGCTAACAACCATCTGTAACTCCAGTTCCAGAGGAATTCGATACTGTCCTGACTTTCATGGGCATTGCACAACACGGGTGCACTTACACACATGCAGGCAATATATTCACACAAAAAAATAAAAATAATAAAACTTTTTATTTTAAAAAAGAAAAGGACCAGGTAGCTCTATTACCCTAATCCAATCCCAGGCCTGAATGCATCTTCACGGACCACACTGCTTGGAGAGTCTAACCCATTAGTGAAGCTAAGACGAGCCTTCATAACTGCCACCCCCCATGACTTCCCTCTGCTCTCATCTGCCTGTCCTTGTTTCAACTCTTGCTCCTTAAGCCTTTAACCTTTTAGATTGTAGTGCAGAAAGGAGATGAAGCTGGTGGCTACGTCAAGGTCTACACCGGCCGCAAGGTGGGGCTGTTCCCCACCGACTTCCTAGAGGAGATTTAAGTGTACTGGCTCCTGCAGGCGGGAGACACCTGTACCTCATTCTGGGCAGACGCTGTGGAGGTTGGGGAAGAAAAGGGCGAAAGCAAATGGACCGGATGGGGGCACGACTTCTAGAACACGACAAGGCTTCTGGGAAGGGACTGGCTTCTGCTTCCCTCTCCCTGCCCAGGGCCTCGGATACCTGCCATGAGCAGCCCTCACTCGTAAATCCCTTCTGGCCCATTCGAGAACTAGAGAAAGTGCGGCTCCACGAGGTGGTGTCGACGGGGATCGTGGGGACGAACTGATGAATGTTGTGAATTTATTAAAGTTTTGACAAAAGTTAGAAAAGTTTGTTCTTTGATTAAGGGGGGAAGAGCTGCGGAGACGGGGAGAATCGTCTCCAGCTGCTCTCCAATCACTGTGGCTGGTGGGAGTAGACAGATTTGCACTCAGGAGGCTAGGCTTCTGCTGGAAGTGAAGAAAGGAGAACCGCACTGGAGTCGCCACCCCTGTGGTTGGGAGGAGGATAGCGTGGCAGGGGTGAATACCCCCTTTTTGGTGGTCGGCCCGTTGGATTTCTTAACCTGGTTCAGAGCCGATCTAGGCCGCCAGGGGGCGATGCAAGATCTCGGTTGGAGAGAGGGATGGGGAAGGGTGGGGGAGTGGTGGCTAAGGGGAGAGAACCAGAGACACCAAGCCGGAGACCCTAGGCCTAGGAGGGGGTGGGGTGCGTGCCGTCTCCATGGCAACACTTCCTCCAGTCCTCGGGGAACTGAGCTAGCGAGGCCGTGGGGCCTAACCCCTCCCGCGCAGCCCCTGCCCCAGCCCTTTCCGACAGGTACCGAGTGAGAGGACGTCAGGCAGACAGCTAACCAGTCCAGGCGGAGACCCCCCTGCGGCGCGCCGTATGCAAACGTTATTATTTGCATATGCAAATATGCAAATATGCCAGCCCTGGTCAGGGCGGCAGGTGGCTCGAAGTGGGAAGGTGTGGGGGGTAGCAGGAGACAGGAGTTTGGGGGCCTAGGAGCCAAGCATTGAGAGGCAGCTTGGGGTGGTCGCTGGAGCGGGGCAGACCGAGGGTCTCGGACTGATAGCGGGTGGGGGGGAGGGTGGTCCTGGCCAGCCAGAAGCGCCTCTTCTCGACTGCCGGTTGTCTGCCAGGACTGAGGTTGGCACCGCCTAGCAAGGTTGGCAGCAGGAGCCCGGGCACCATCTGCTGCTGGCGGGGGGAGGGCAGAGGCTCAGCTGGGCTGGGAAGTAGAGGGCCCCGGGACCGGCAACCCCTCCTCCTCTTTACAGAAGGCTGAGGTGTGCTGGGGGTAGGGAAGCAAAACTCCCTGCGGTACCGGGTTCCGTTTCTTGTTCCCTTTGCCCTTGACTCTTCCGGATGTTCAACAGTGCGAGGCAGCGCGAGGGCGAGGGTCTTACAGGAAAACTCGGACAGCCCCCTTTTTATCATTATTGGGCCAGAATAGGAGCAGATCACAGACACACACACACACACACACACACACACACACACACACACACACCAGTAACACACAAATCAACCTTTTTGTCCCATCCTTCCTTGGAATCGTCTACCACAAGTGAGGGGAGAGACTACGAAAATACCTATCACCTCTATTCATTAAGCGATCCGAGGGACTCAACTCAAGCGCCCCCCCCCCGCCACCAGGCGGTCAAGAGTCCCACCATCACCACAATGCTGAAGCAAAACCAATTTACTGGCTCATTGGGCGGCAGTCTTGGCGTGGGGGTGTCGAAGAGCAGGGAGAGCGGCTGTTCTCCCTACACTCGCAGAGCGCCCCCCTCCCTCGCCTTACCGAGCCGGCAGCTGTCCCTAATTAGAGCGGCGGTTTAATTGGATTTATCAGCAGTTAATAGGAAATTAAGCAAAGGGCCCGAGAGAAGGGGGGCGGGAGGAGCAGGGAGACAGGCTGTGCCCAATTGGAAGGAGGGGTGCTGGGGCACCAGGGGCGGAGAAATGGGCATAGTGACTGAACCCAGTGATCACACCCTTCTCCTCAGTTGTCTGAGGGTGAGTCCCAGGAGAGGGCAGGAGGTATGACAGCGACAGTTTGAGTCCCCAGTGCTTCCCACTCCCACAAGCTGCCTAAGTGATGGATGATGCTGCTGCACACTGCAAAGGTCATAAGTCTGGGCCAAGGAGCAAACTGAATTGAAAAGAGATCAGAAGAAGGACATGGGGTACTAGGGTCCAGGACACAACTTGCATCCCACTCCTCTCCACGCTCTCAAAAAACAAAAACAAAAAAGCTGCCCCTTCTTTAAAGAGTGTGAAGTATGCTGGAGGAGGTAGGGTACAGATTGACCCTGTCTTCAACCTAGTTGGGGGCTCCTGGGAATCTCCTAGTGCTAGTGCCTATATCCCACCAGACATCGTTCCCCCACCCCAAGTGTTCCAGTTGGGGCTGGCAGGGCCGGCTGCTACTGCTGCTTCAGGGGCAGCCCAAGGTCTGTACGGCTGGCCCTGAAGGCCTGAGAAGAAAGCTTGTAGGCAGCCGAGCACAGGGGCCACAGACCTCTGAGTCCACAGCCCCAGGCGCCTCCTGCTCATTATACTGCAAGGCTAATAAGGCCTGCTCTGGGACCCGGGCAACCTCACTCAACCCCGCAGGGCACAAATGGCAGCGCCTGCATAAACTTGGGTGACCCTGAGTGGATGTGGGAGGGTCTCTTATTGTGTGCTCCTGGCAGTTATGGAGGTATAGGTGTGTCTGGGAATGTGAGCCAGGTTCATGTCTGTGTTCCGATTTTGTCATTCTTCCTGTGTTTGTAATATAGGGTTTGTCCACTTCCTATCCCAACCCCTTCTTCCCCCATCTCTATAATTTCTATCTATAAGCCCCAGGGTGCCTAGGTGTCTGTTCTTTCCTATGTGCCTTGACACGTCAACGTGTCTGTGCGCTCTTCATGGCTGGCTGTGCCCCAGTGTACTGTCGTCTCCGAGAGTCTCTGCCTCCACGACTGTTTGTGTGAAAATCAAGAAGAGCCACTGGGACACGTGTGTGTGTGTGTGTGTGTGTGTGTGTGTGTGTGTGCGCGCGCGCGCTCTGGCGTCTTCGCCTGTAGGTGAGTGTGTCTCGGTGACAGTGCGTGGGTGTGTGCCTGGGTGTGAGCCGCGCGGCAGCATCTTTCCGAATGACAGTGTGACGCACGCACACGCGTGTGCGCGCTCCCCTAAGCGGGAGCATCTGATTGAGTCTCCCGCCCCCTCTCCTTTCTCTCCCTATTTCTATTCCTCTCTCCTCTCCCGGCTCCGCTGTCCGCATCATCTCCATCCATTATTGAAGAAACAGCAGCGTCCGCTCCAATCACATCAACACCCCGCCCCCTCCCTGTTCTGCTCGCCCTGTGGCCCCTTTGGGTGCTGGGGAGGCGGGGGATGCCCAGGCATAGCGGGAGCCCTGGGGTAGAAGCGGGTTCATGACCCTGTGCTCGGGGCTGAGCGAGGCACAGGGACACCAGGGTCCCTGGCGGAGGGAGCTTTGCATAAACAGATGGCGCCGGTGTCTTTGTCTAGCTTGCTAGCCTGCTTGCCGCCCGGCTCCCCTCTCCACTTCAGTCTGGCTGATGCAATCAGATCATCTCAGAGCCTCAGGACCCAGCGCCCTTAATAGTGGCAGTGGGGGTCAGGGGCCCCCCGGGGCTCCTGAGCAGATGCTGGGCACTCTGGCTTCCCTCTTGGGCGCCCTCTCCAACACCTCAGCAGCAGCGGGAAGACAGAGGCCGCTGTGAGGTGAAAGGAATGTGGAGGTGATGTGATGGGGAGGGGACCCTGAGCAGTGCCCCAAGGTGCCTTCCAGCTGTCCCGTTAGATTGCGGCAGCCCCTCTCCTCCAGGGACAGGCAGTAAGCCACAGAATAGAAGGAGCTAAAGAGTGGGTGGGTGGGGAAAAGAGGGAGACTAAGAGACAGAAAGGCAGGCGTTGGCAAAGAGACCACAGCGAGACAGAGAGATGTAGAGGGAAGTAGAGACTGGCAAGATAGAAACAGATACAGAAAGACAAAGCCAGGTAGAGAAAGCAGAGCTGCAACGAGAAATGGAACATGAGGACCCACACATACACAAAGAGAGAGTCAGAGACAGACCACAAGAAAAGAGCAAGAAGGACAGCAGGCTTAGGGAAGGCCAAGTCAGAGGTGTAAGGTCTCCACCAGAGACTCAATAGAGTCTCTCCCTGTTGTCCCAGAGCAGAGAGGAAGCCCCAGGCCTGTGAAGCCAGCCTGACGAAAGAACCCTGCCCAAACATGGGTGCTGCCTGCACCTGGCGAGACAGTCTCCCTCGTCCCATCTCTGCTGTCCAGCCCCACAGCAGAAGCGTGGAGGCTTGGGACCCCCACTACCTTGGTTGCGAGAGTGATGGGAGTGATGCGCCCGGCGCAGACCTGTATACACAGTCCAGGCGCCGGACTTAACTTGAGCAAACAGCGGAGGAAATGCAGGGCCGATGCTGCCCGACAGGGGGAGCCCGAGACCTCGTCCCCAGCTTGGAGACGCTCTGCCTCGAGAGGGCGCCCGCATCCCCGGCACCCCCGGCAGTCTGCTCTCTCCCACGAGCCCAGCTGCATTTGACTTGCGGCGCCGCCAGCCACCGGGATTAGTATCCTGGAGCGGTTTAGAGGTGAAGAGTCTGGTCTCGGTAGAACCCCTGGACGCGCTGAATCCACGGCTCCCACTGTCCGTCACCTCCTGAGCCAGCAGGGCCTGAGTCACCATTGTGCGAAAGTGCAAGAAAGGGGGAAGAGGGGAGACATGGAACCCAAGGAGCTCCGTGTCCCACTTCTTCCCCAGAGACCGCCGTCCTGATATGGGAACACAGGAGGGGAAGAAACAGGCTCACAGGGATGGGACTCAGAAGCAGATGAAGCGTCAAAGAATCACGGAGAGGCAGGAGCGAAAGCGATAATGTAATATCGGGCTTGGAGAAGCCCGCAGGAGACTCAAGGAAGGAGGAATGGGGGAGGCTCTAGGAAAGGAGCGGGACAGAGGCTGTGTCTCGCCAGGCCTAGGTCACCAGAACTGGGGGTGGGGGCTCAGAAGAAGTCCCTACAGGAGTCATGGCTCCCCAGCTGTGCCGCGGAGTACCAGATGTGCAGCTCAGCTGGGCATCTACTGAAGCTCGAGCTCCAGGACTGATATTTAGCACCAGCACCCCCAGCCTGGACGGCTATGGGTCACGATGACAGGGCACCTCCTTCCTGGTCCAGCCCTGAAAGTATGGATGCTCAGGAAGGGCACTGCTCTGATCCAGGCTCTGACATCCCCTGTCAGTCCCCCTCCTCCACCACTACCACCCCCACACACATCGCAGTGAGTCTCTGTCTCTTTGTTCTCGCCATGTCTCTGACACTTTATCTCATTATCCGCTGGAGGGAGGTGGAGAGCCCGGACCCCGCAGCCTAATTACAGCCGCACTTGTCAGCTCTAGGGGTGGGAGAGGTATTGGTGTGCAAGAAAGGGAGGGACCCCTCAGGAAAGGTCCTCTCCCTCCCTACACCCCAAGGGGGCAGCGGGGGGAGGTGCACAGCTTACCCCTATAGGATGGATTCCTTAGAGGAGTAGAGGAGCTTGGCAGGATCCAGCAGCAGAAGCTAAGGAAGAGGGAGTGATAGAAATGAACATGGGAGAAGGGGATGAGGCTCATCTCCTGTGTCCCCAAGACCCCAAAGGCAGAGGGGAGGGGAGACTTCCCACCCTGGTAATTATAACCTGTACCTGAATTGGTTGAAGAGAAAATCACACCAGTTGTCTTGTTCTGTTTCCTATTTCAACATTTCTTCCATCTTTGTTTAACTGCTTCTTTCACCTTAGGGCTCTTCCTCTCATTCCAGAGCCAGAGATGAGTGTGGCCTCCGCAGGGCGGGGGGTGTCTGGAATGGGGACTGTACTTTCACTGTCTCTCAAGCCCCCCAAACTGCCACAACATTCATCTTGTATCCTCAGTCTTGGGAGTCAGACACATCTGGTTCCTCCACCTCCAACCACTCCAGGCCAACCACAACTCAGAAATTGCCCAAAACAAGAGGCAGCTCTACTCAGTAGCCCACCTGCCTCCCTCCTCCTCCTGGTATGCTACATGATGGTAAGGTAGAACCAGTATTCTATTCTCAAGACCTGCATGCTCTAGGACTGTCAAGAAAGTGCTACAGATGTCCCTGGCTTGGTCTTCCTGGTCTTACAGTGCACATTCTACACCCTTATTTTGTTAGAGGGCTGTATATTTACCTTCCACATCTGGATCTCCCTGAAGTCTCTGTGTGCCTAAGGGCCCCTCCCTCAGACACCCAAAGCCCCAAGTATAATGGTATCTAATGGGCCAGGAGCACACATCTGTAGGAGAGTTGGGGAGGAGAAAGCTCTAGGCTCCCCAACAACCTCCTGCCTACTTTGGATCTGGAATTGCAGGGAGGAAGCAAGCTGGGTGGGGCTGGCTGGTCTAAGCTGACCCCTCCCCGATGAGGGGCGGGACCCCAGGAGGGGAGATAGAGCAGTTCCACAGAACAACAGACTTTGGAGAAACACCATGGCAGGAACCAGTCTAGGGGCACGCTTCTACCGGCAGATAAAAAGACACCCTGGGGTGAGTTCAGTCCTCAGACCTCAGATCCTAACTCCTGCCCCTGCTCCTCCACCCTTCAAATCGCCTTGTCCCCTTTCCCTAATGCTGCCTAATTTCTCCAATGCCCCCAATCTTCCCAGGGACATTTCCACACTTTATCCCTACAATATGCCCCCCCATGTCCCTGGAATCTACCTTACACAGGATCTCTGTAGGGAAATTGGCTTTAGGAGGTTCTAGGTCACGAAAAGGGAGAGCAGCACCAGACCTTGGGTGAAAAGGCCGAAAGAAGGCTTGTACAGAGTGAGTGGGAACTGTGGGCAGAGTGCAGACCCTAAAAGCGTCCTGTGTTCCTGCAGCTCATCCCGATGATCGGCTTCATCGGCTTGGGCTTGGGCAGTGCCGCGCTCTACTTGCTGCGACTCGCCCTGCGCAGCCCGGATGTCTGGTAACAGCGGGGCTTGGGAGCAAGAGGGGTCCCGGGTGGAGCAAAGTGGAAAGGCCCTCTTAGGAATGGTGGGAATGAATGACCCGGGAGGGGGTTCTCAGGCCATGTACCTCCTTCCACTGTACCACCCGGCATTTCTGAGGGCTGGAGCTGGCTTCGGAGCTGAGAGACCCCCACCTTCTGTCTGGCCCACCTGGCTGCCCACTTCTGGGGTTCTGGCAGCTGGAATCCCAGCCGCTCCCAGCCCGGTTGCCATGGCGACACAGCTCTGCTGGCCGCCACGGGCTTTTGGGTACCTCTACGACGGCCCAGGAACACTGGTGCTGTGGCAGTGTTCCGCTACTGCGCCCCCCCCCCCTTCCCGTAACACTGAGACTTCAAGTCCTGCCGGAGACATCCAGCAGTCCTTTGACAAGCAAAAGGCAAACCCTTCCAACCCTGCTGCTGGAATTTGAAGCCTACTGGATCCCTGTCTAATTCACGGACCCTGCTCTGAGGGGTTAACCTAGGAAGGCAGGGAAGTGGTCCATGGGCTGGGTTGCCACTCTGTCACCAGGCCCCACAATGATAATGGTGACAAGCTTGTCACATCTGTTAACATGCCCCCTTCTCTGTCAGTCTCCTGGAAATGTGCGCCCTCCTCATAGGAGGCATGGGTAGGGACAGACTATGGCTGGACCTTGGGCTCATGTTTGGTATCAGTCCTAGGTCCACATAAGACAACCTAACCATCCCATCCTGTTCACAGCTGGGATCGAAAGAACAACCCAGAACCCTGGAACCGCTTGAGTCCCAATGACCAATACAAGGTAATTTGGTGGACCTAGGTAATCACCCTCCTGCTCCTCTCCTTATCCCTGGATCTACACCCTCCCACATCAAAGGGAGGCAAGAGACACTCTTCCAACTCTCCTTTCCCTCTTCATAGTTCCTTGCAGTTTCCACTGACTATAAGAAGCTGAAGAAGGACCGGCCAGACTTCTAAGCCAGGCCCCCAGGGCGTCAATCTAGCAAGCTGTCCAGCTTCTGCTTACACAGGCCTGATTCCCACGAAGAGGGGAGGCAGCTCCACCCCCACCCTCCTCCCTTTTTCCCAGTAGCGGAAGAGCCTCTGACCCCCTGCTGTAGTCCCATGTGGGGGAGGGTAGTCAAAACTATAGTCAGCAGCTGGGGTTGACCCAGAAGGACCAAACCACCCCCTCTGCCCTCCTATACCCATGCCTAATAGGGTGTGGCACAGGCTACGTGTTGAGCGTGTCTGACGTGTGCCAACAGCAAGCAGAGGCCTCTTAGTGCCAAGGGACGTGGCAGGCCCCACGTTAGAGCAGGCTTTGAGCAAGGCTCATGTGTGGTGGCTGCTCAGGCTCGACTGGGCTCATCCTAGCAGCCCAGTCTGCTCAGGATGGGGCACCTCTGCCATGCGGTGTACTCCTTTCCTGCCCAAGCCTGCTTCCTCCCATCAACAGCACCCCTCCCACCTCACACCTGGGCCTGTGTTGTTCCCCAGCCCTCCCTTCCCTTGCTTCCCTGTCCCCGGGGATCAAACAGAAGCAGCCGTGGGCAAAATACAATTTCATTTAACAAATTGAATTTGCTGCGCCTGCTAATCACGTCTGGTGTCGGCTCTGATCAGAGAGAGAGAGAGAGAGAGAGAGAGAGAGAGAGAGAGAGAGAGAGAGAGAGAGAGAGAAAGAGAGGATGCAGCCCCGGGGGTCCTTGTGATGGTAGGAGGGAGGGAGGAATACATGTTGAGGGAGTCCAGTGGCTGGCTGGCCTAGGGGATCCCTCCCATAGTAATAGGAACTCTGGGCAGGTTAGCATTTTATTAGATAAAAAACAGGAAGGAGGGTGCTTACCCACTCCTTCCTCTGGCTCAGCACGCAACTCCCCCTCCCCAAGAAAGAGCAAGAGTCTGTAACACTGAGAAATGGCAGAGGGTTTGGGCAGAAAGCTGAGGGTGAAGTTGGGTGTGGCAGTGCACACTGTAACACCAGCACTTGGGAGATGGAGGTAGGCGGATCAATTCAAGGCCTGTCTCAGCTAAGTGAGACACTGTCTCCAAAAAAAAAAAAAAAAGAACCAAAATAAAATAATAACAATCAAAATAAAGCTGGGGGCACGGTAGGGCTCCTTCTAGACGTAGTTACAAAACAGAAATCTCATCTACAAATTCTGGGAATGGGGATTATACCTGGTTCTTCCCCTAAGTGGAAGGCCTTCCCCCCTCCACCAAAAATCAGAAAGTAAAGCGAGGTCCCTTCTCTGGCCCAGGTAGATAGGATGATGGGTCCAGTCTGTTGGCTTTGATTCCCAGAAGCCCTCAACGCTCATCAAATCCAGGCATGGGGAAGGTCCTGGCAAACTGTTCCACCTGCTGCCTGAGGCTAGCCAGACGCTGACTTGTTTCTGGGTCCTTGAGCAGGAAAGATTTGAAATCCTGGAGCTTGGCTAAAGACAGTGAGAAAAAAAGATGGTCAGAGCTCTGGGCAAGGTAGTGAGCTAAATCAGCTGGAGAGGAAGAAGAGGTGGGGGGGAAGAAAGAAGACTGGGGGGGGGGGGTCAAAACAAAACTGGTTGCTGGGGAGATCTCTGGCCCACTCACCAGTCTTGCTCTTCACCTCCAAGCCAATGTTGACTCCTTCATCAATAAAGTCAACAACTCTCCGGAAGTCATCCTCTCGGAACTGTCGAGAAGTCAATGCTGGGGCCCCTGGGAGACCACAGCAGACAGATTAGCATAGTTTCTAACATGAGGCAGCTATCCAGTGTGGGAACCCTTCCCTCCCCAAACCCCAGGTCTCACCAAGCCTCAGGCCCCCCGGGGTAATGGCGCTCCTGTCTCCAGGGCAGGTGTTCTTATTGGCAGTGATGGACACAAGCTCTAGCACCCGCTCAGCTCGAGCTCCATCCAGACCCTTGGGCCGCAGGTCCACCAGCACGAGGTGGGTGTCGGTGCCACCTGAGGGGGATAATGATCAGAGTGGGAAGTCCTGGGCCTCAGTTTGAGGTTACAAAGTACTTCACCCATGCCCTGGCTCACCAGACACCAGTGAGTAGCCTCGCTTTAGCAGGGCATCAGCCATGGCTCGAGCATTCTTTAACACTTGCAAGGAGTACTCCCGGAACATGGGGGTGCAGGCCTGTTGATGAGATAGCAGCACGTGTGATTCCAGGCCTGGGTACAGGCCCTGCACTGGCTTCCACACCCAGTAAGGCTCTATGATGCCTAACCTTGACACCTCCCACCTTAGCCATTTTCCTTCCACCAGCATCAATCTTAGCTAGCAAGATACAGAAGCAAAGCCTCTGGACCAATGCACCCCTCGACACAATGGCAGGCTCTCCAACCTGCTTGAGGGCCACAGCTACAGCAGCAATGGCATGGTTGTGGGGGCCCCCCTGCAAGGATGGAAATACAGCAAAGTTGATTCGGTCCTCAAAAGTGTAAGGGATCTCTCGGCCAGTCTTAGGGTCTACAGTCCGTACTCCCTTCCGGTAAAAGATGAGTCCAGACCTGTATGAAAGACATGTGGTCAGAGTCTAAGCTGATAATGGACAAGTGATGGAGGAAGATGGGTGGTTTGGGCAATCAAGAGCTCTAAGTGCCCTCAGATGTGCTTGGTGCACTGAATTCCAGTGAGATTAGCCACTGGAGGGGACTAGCCTCACTCCACACCCAAATCCCTGCTAAGGAAAGGCTACCACAAAGGAAGAGAATCATCAAGACTGGGAGAAATCTTCCAGGCTGCAGGTGGAAATGAATTCCTCTCGGATCAAGCCCACCAATGCCCTGAAACAGGGCAGGAAGGCAAGGCTGACCCCAGGAGAGCCTGACCTTGCCCCTCGAAGAGTCTTGTGAGTGGTGGTAGTGACAATATCCGCATACTTGAAAGGTGAGGGGATCACCTTGGCAGCCACCAGGCCACTGATATGGGCCATGTCTGCCAGCAGGTGTGCCTTAACCTCGTCACACACCTGGACAGACAGAGAGACAGACCTCAGCCTAGGAAAGGCTACCCTCCTTCCCAGCCTCCCCCACTCCCACCCATGGGGTGAGAGAGTGCCTGGGACTCCAGCCCCCCACCAACCTCTCTCATGCGGGCGTAGTCAATGAGGCGGGCGTAGGCACTAGTACCAGCTATAATGAGTCGTGGTCGGAAAAGCCGAGCAGTCAATGCCAGCTGGTCGTAGTCAATGAGGCCAGTTTGGGGCTGGACAGACAGATAGCCATCTAAAGCTCTGAGGTAGCAGTAGGCAGCTCATGTTCCTCCTTGATGCTGAGGGCTGCCCAGGGTTCCAGCCCCTCCCACTGCCCAAAAAAGGACCACCAGGGATTGAGGAGCCAACTGCCCAGGCCTTAGAACACTTACATTGAGCTTATAGGGCATAGACTCGAAGAAAATGGATGTGGCAGAGATCCGCTTGACATCAGACATGTAGCCATGGGTGAGACTACAAAAAAAGGAGGCCTTAAAGTGAAACATCCTGACTTCCTGGTTATCTCCACAGGCCTGTCTCCAGAACGCTGGTCCTAGCTCAACCCACTTTCAGGCTCTGTCCACCTATGCTGTGTAATGATGTGACTGGGACCTTATTACATCCAAAGTAACACGCAACACAAGCAGAAGTGTGGTCCTCCACATAGGTCCAGTAGGTATTCAGTAAATAACTCCTTTCTCATGCCATTACTGCCCACCAAACCCATCATTCACCCCATCCATACTTACTGGCCCCCATCAGGCAGGTCCAGGCCCATGATTCGGTCATGAGGCTGCAGAAGGGCTGTGTAGGCAGCCAGATTGGCTGGAGACCCTGAGTAGGGCTGGACATTGACTCCCCATTGTGAAGGATCCAGGTCAAAGGCTTCCAAGGCCCGACGCTGACACAGCAGCTCGATTTCATCCACTACCTCTGCTCCCCCGTAATATCTGCCACAGAGATGGGTACATAAGAGCACAGAGAAAGGACTCTTGGCCAGCAGCAAAGGATTGGGAAGGCCACTGCTCCATAAACACTGATAGGGTACAGGAAGGTTCCACCACTGGGAGTGCCATCCCTGATGTTGCCCTCCAACCCTTTGGTCTAGCCCTCACCTCTTGCCAGGATAACCCTCCGAGTACTTGTTGTTCAGACAGGACCCCAGGGCCTCCAGCGCAGCTCGGCTGCAGAAGTTCTGGGGTGGTGGGGGGGCAATGTCAGAAGGCACTGAGCCCCTTCCCCTGGACCCCCACAGCCCCACCCCTGCCAGAGCCCATAGGCCGCAGGAGGGAGCTGGGCTGCACAAAAAGTTCTGTGCACTCTAGTTCCTTGCCAGAAGCAGCATTTTCAGAAACTCAACTGCAATGATGGGTGTCCACAGTAAGGTCACCTGCCACTCAAACCTGTGTTTCCAAGTTCCTCCTTCTTCTGACAAGGGAGTAAGGGAAGAGATGAGACTGTAAGGACTCCAGAAGGCTCTAACGCACAACCCCATAAACTGGATTGGTTCTGCCAGTGTTTCAGAGGACAGTATAAAGGGGGAGATGGCCCCTGGGAACAGGCCTTGAGTCTGAGTGGGAGACGGGGAGAGATGCCCATTGTGTGGCTTGTTATTGCCTATACTTGTGGTGGCCCATTCCTTTCCACCTACCTCTGAGGCAATGAGCTCCAGGCCACGGCACTGCCTGTCCTTCTCCCTCTGAAGTAGTTCCCAGAGCTCAGGGTCACTGTCTGACAGACTTTCCTGGCCTGTCCAGCCTCCAGTTGCTTCTCCAGTCTGGGTCTGGGCTACCTTGCTGTGCTGAGCTCGAGTAACCATCTTGACCAGTTGACCAAATCGCTGTAGAGGCTAAGAGCAGAAAAACAAAGATTAAGTAAAAATTGTCCAAACCTCTCCCAATCACCGTCAGCCTTGTGTGCAGAGCCTTATGGGTAACAAGGCCAGTTGTCCAGCCAACCGATTCTGTTACCACCCCCACCTCTACCTTGAAAAGTCAGTTCTAGGGCCAAGGTTCAGAATGGTCAGTATCCAAAGAGCAGTTTTGATTGGCTCCATTCACCTCCCCTCAGAATTCTCCTCCAACTCATCCTGTGACCCTCTCTGCAAGGCCACAGAGCAAATCTTGTCCTCCAGGACAAATTCAGGAGAGAGCCACAGACTCTAGGGTCTCCTCACCCACAGGAACAAAAGGGCCTTCCTGCAAGGGCTCCATAAAGGGATACCCTAATCAGGGAGAACACAAAGTTAGCAGGACTTAAGGCCACAGACTGTAGGTAATTCCCAGAACAATGAAGGTAAGGAGGGTATAGGCCTTTAAGCAGTTCCTGGGAAACAGGTGTATGCCCGGCAGGAGCATGTCTACTGGCAGGGAAGCCATAACAAGAACCCTATCCCCTACACATACATACATACATACATACATACACACACATACACACACACACGCTTTCCTCAGGAGTCTCCAGCAATAAGCCCTGAGTTAGGAAACCTTGCCACCTCACCGACTTCCTGCCCACAGGGCAGCGGCCCCCATGCCTGATGAAAGTAGTGAGGCTCAATTGCATCATCTACAAGGCTCAGCGCTTGAGGGAAAGGTTCAATTTGAGCACTGACGCCAGGAACCCCATTTGTTCGCCAGGATCTTGCCAACACAGGGTCCGCTTGGCTTGTAGCACGGACCTTAACCTTTATGCCACGTGAATTAGGCGGCCACGAGACCCCGGGGCGTCTAATTGCCAGAACGAGGGGTCCCTTTCCCCGCATATGCGTCCAGGGGTCTCAGGATTCTCTGGGTAAGCGTCCGCTTCCTTACGCCCCAGGCACGTGCGGTGAAAGAGCCAGGAGAACCTCAGTTTGTGGAAAGGGAACTAGCGTGGGGGACCTTTCCACTGGTCACCCAGTCTCCAGAACCCTGTTCTTACCCGAATGGTCCAAAGCAAAGAGAAGGGTACCATCGCAACCAGAAGTCACAGGACGTCCACTCACCAACTCTGATTCGGAGTAGTAAGGGGGCGGGAGGGGGGGGGTGCTGTCGGAAGAAGACCAGTCCTAGAACGCATGCGCGAGAAAAATGCTCCGCGAAGGGGAAGGGTCTGCGCATGCGCAACAATGACCTCTTAATGGCATTTTGGGGATTGTAGTTTTTCTTCATTCTCATGCCCCATCTGTAACTCCAGGGTTAGAGAACCTTGCCTCAAAAAAACACCCAGGGCTCCTCCATTTGCTTACTGTCTTGAAGTTTTTCAGAGTTTCTTTTTCCTGTTAGTTGTCAAGAAAAGTGGTTTTGTGTGTGTGTGTGTATGTGTGTCTACACAATAACTATTAGCACCATCAGGTTCACTGGCAGATCCAGAGAGGCCCATACAAGATAAAGAATTATGACACACAGAAGTCAATGGTTTGAAAGAGAAGAAGACCCACATTCCAGATTTAGGATTACAGCAAAATAGCCTAGCTGGACTTGTTTCCTCATTTGTAAAACCATAAGAAAACAATCGTGGTAGCCCACACCTGTAATTCCAGCACTGGGAAAGTGAAGGCAGGAGAACTAGGAGGTCAGCCTCTGCTACCTATAAAGTTTGAGTTCAGTGGAGTACATGAGACCCTATCTTAACTCACCCCCCCGAAAAGAACCTTAACAATAAAAGCATATGGTGGGGATTAAATGACGTTGCATGTGAATACACTGTCATATAGATTGTTCTCCTCTTCCTTTGACTCACAAAGCTGCTTCCTCCAAGGCCATTTACTCCTCAGCTGAGGGCACGGTGAGATGCCCCTCCTCTCATGGCACTTGTTGCATCTCATTTCCTATCAATGTGATATCCCAGCAGTAAGTGAGTTCTTAAAATTTATCTTCTTTTCAGCCTTACTGCATCTGGGGAGTGGGGTGAAACTCACTGACTACTCCAGGGAAAGATTTCCAAATAAGTTGGGCCCTTCTATTGAAAAGTTCTAATCCAATGACTATCAAAGACACACGTTCAACCTCTCTTCAGTGATTCCAATAAGTAGAGGATTTAAGTCATTACTTTACATAGCAATATTATGCATTCATTTATTCAACAGACATTGAGCTCCAAACCAAGCAGGCCACAGCCCTGGAGACCCAAGGGTTCACATGAAGAGGTGAACAAGTGATAATATTCAACACCTCACTTTGCTTTCAGATATACATGTGTAGAAGGAAGAGAAAGGGAGGGAAAGAAAGGTGGAGGCTATAGCTTGGAAGAGAAAGGTTCGTGAGTCAGAGAAAGAGAAGGACTATCTATGGAAGGCCATGTAATCGCCACTGTGTGCCTTTTTTTTTTTTTTCAGTGCTAGAGATCAAATCCAGGGTCTTGTATGCATGCTATTTTATTATGGCTTTACAAGTGAGGAGACCAGACCCAAACTGACTGACCATTCCTACTCTAGGCATTCCCACCTGGCTCTATGCTAGCCTCAGAAGTCTCTCCTTAACTCTAATTGCCTTCTCTAATTGCCTCAGCTTTCCTCAGGGGTCTCCAGCAATAAGCCCTGAGTTAGGAAACCTCTGTCTTCTAATTTCTGACCTCGAACCACTCCACATCTCCCTATTCCTTTCACTTGATTCTATTGTTTATCCGTCCTTCAGTTATTTACTTATGTATTATTGGGAATTGAACCCAGGGCCTTGTGCAAGGTAGGTGAGACCTACATCCCCAGTTCCAGGTATTCTCTGCTCATGACTTTTTACTCCCAGGTATGTCTGGGTCAGACCCATCTCCAACTCAGTGTCTGATGGAACAGTGGGCAGTTCCCTGTAGGACACTGCCTTTTCCCTGTGGGCACCTTACCCTGGACTCCAGTGAAGAAGGCTAGGTGAAGAGGAAGGGACTCTCTGTGCCTCAGCTTGTCTGCACCCCCTCCCTAGTCCCAGTCAGGGGGTCCCAAGGGCAGGGGGTGGGCTGCTGAGCTGAGAACTGCTAATGAAGCTGCAGCCAATTAACGCCCGGGCCAGGGTTGGGGGCGGATAAAATTAGCAGCCAAGGCTGCAGGAGGGAGCTGAAGGGGGGTGTGGAGAGGGTGGGCAGCTGGCTGAAGGGGGCTGTTTGCTGGAGGTTAACAGCAGCAACTCTGTCCCACCCTTGGAACCTGAGCTCTGTCCCTTCCCCCATCCCCACATCCCAATGCTCCCTCCCTTTCTCCCTCATCGGTCTGCAAACTCAGCGCCCACGAAATTAGGAAGGAAAAGGAAGATCGATGACTCCAGATGCTGCAAACACGGTTCCCCTTCCCTCCCAACCTTCCCCATCCCTTCAGCCCCTTGGAGCTTAGCAGGTTGTCAGCGCTCTGCCTACATGGTTCCTGCTTCTCCATCCCATTCAAGGTCTTAAACCTCTTCCCCAAGTCTTCCAAACAGAGCGCTGAAGTCCATCTCAGGTCTAATTCCCATACTCTCTGCTTCTGCTCCTCTTCACCCTCCTCAGAGAGGAGAATCTCCACCTCCGGCGGACTCCTACCCATCTGGTCATTGCTTATCAGGTCCAAGGTGCTAGGTCTATCAATCTTTGCCTCAGTTTCTTCAACAGCCGCCAAGGGAGGAGGCCTTTGCTCAGCCTCTACCAAACCGAAGCCCACACCCCCTCCCCTTTCCTACAAAGGTCTCACACAGACGAGTATTGGATTTCACTTTATTTTGTTCCCTTGCTCTTCTGTTTTGGCTTAGAAAAAAATATCACCGAGGAAGCAGCCAGAGAGGGCAGGTGGAGCTGGACTGCAGGGAGGGGAGGGAGGTAGGCGCAGGTTGGGAGGAATTGAGTACTGGCTTTATGGCAGGCACGCAGAAAGGGAAGGGGTGGATAGGCTGGGGCTTATAGGTCTTTACAATCTTTATTGGAGAGAGGGGATGGACCGGGATGGGGTAAGTAGGGCCAGCACTGGGGGTAAGAAAGAGTGCCAGGCCAGGCTCTAGAGCTCTGGAGGGGAAGAGGGGACAAAAGGGGATCCTATGTGTATGTAGGAACACTAGGAAGGCCTCGAAGCCCCGCTTATTCTGGGGCTTTGCTCTCAACGTTCCACTTTAGGGTATGTTTGAGGAGGCTACCCCAGCCTCACAGACAAACCCCAGAAGGAACTGAAGAACCACGCCTGCTGAGTCCCAGGGAGAGCTGTTTTCCTCCACCCTACCTCCAATGAAAGAAGTAGGGGCAGTCACAGGAGCACGGGATACAGGAAAGGGTCCCACCTGGTGAAGCCGCGATCTGGTGGGAAGCTCAGGGCCCAGGACAGGGGCGCTATCCAAAGTAGGGATGCTCACTCTGGAAGTTATAGTCTGGGCATACCTTTTGCACCAGTTTGTAGTCAAAGCTGAGGAAAGAGACGAAGATACAGATGACTTTAAAGGGCTTGGCACAGAGCCAGGCTGCCTGGCTCTGCATGTGCTCGGTGAAGCACACCTGAGACGGGTCATACAGGCACGGGCGGTGTTTGCGTGCGCGGTTGGTCTTCTCATACTCCACGTGGCAATTGAAAGCACGTGACTCTTTGGCCCCGGGCACTCCCAGCGCGCCCCCGAGTGGCCCCGCCAGTGCGCCCCCAAGGTTGCCCCCAAGCCCAGGTCCCGCCGCCGCTGCCATCCCCAAAGGGGGCCCCAGTCCAGGAAGCACTCCCTCCAGTGCCAGCGTAGACTGCAGAGGGTGGGGGGCAGGCCCAGGCAGCCAGACGCCCCCGAACTCCACACGCTTGGAGGGTGGCACGATACTGACACTTAGGTTACCCAGGCTGGACGAATTGTGGCGGAAGTACACACTGAAGGTACCGTTGACATGGTCCACGATCTTGCCGGTCACCAGCAGCGAGAACTTGAGAGTGTGCACCCGGAAGTAAAAGTCCCCCCAGCCGAAGATCTTTTTGGCGCGCGCCGCTTTGATGGATGGCTTCCTCTTGGTGCGCTGCGCCGGCAGCCCGCCCGACGCCCCCGGCCTGGCCAGCGCCCCCGTGTGGTTAGTCGGCCAGGCCCAGCTCCAGGAGCGCGCAGTGCCCAGGCCATCGGAAGACCCGGGCGCCGGGAGCTGTTGGCCGGGGGCACCCCCTCCTGCCATGGCCGGGCGCAGCTCTAGGTACTGTGGCCTTCCGGACTCTGCGATCTGGCTACTGACCGTCTGTGTGGGGAGAAAAGAGGAGACACTGAAGTGGGCTCTAGCCACCTTCTACCGCCTCAAGGAGAGCCGGCGAGGTGTGCAGCCCACGGTGCTTCAGGACTGTGCTCACGGCCCTTTCAAGCTCCAGGATCTTGGTCAAGTCACTTCATATATCTCGACCCTACTTTCTACACCGTGAGATGACCTGGTGTGGGAAGAGGGAGTAGATCCCGGGTCCTCCATAACCTGGCCTTTGATGGGTCCCAGTAATGGGCCAGGGAGGAGCTGAAATGGACAACCAAGGTCTCCTCAACATCCAGCATCAGGAAAGAGATAGGAAGAACTTCCCCGCTTATGCGGAGACAGAGCTCCCATCCTAGTCTTAGGCAGGGAGGGACCTATGAGAACCCACTGAGGAGTCTGGGCTGGAGGTTGGGCTTGGAGGGTAAAGGGGCACCCCTCTTGTCCTGGTACCACTTGGCTTGTAAAGGATAGAGGAGTAGTCACCTTGCCCACCCCACAGTGCTGGTGTGTCCCAGGTAGCAGCAGATCTGGGAGACAGCAGGATCCCAGAGTACAAGATGAATTGAGAGGCGGAGCGCTGGGCCTGGCTGGGGCAATCAATTATCTTGGGGTGTGTGTAGAGGGGGTGGCCAGGAGTGAAGAAGATGGGAGAGAGACCAGTGAGAGTGAGAGAGAAGAAATATGGAGATGCTGCTCCAGCACAGGGAGCAGGAGGGAGGGGAGTAGAGCGTGTCAGAGTGTGTCAGTCAGCCTGTGCTAGATACCACTGTTTGTGTGGCCCTGACTGTGTGCAAGACCCACAGGAGAGGCAGTTCTCTGTGTGTCTGGCATCGCTGGTTCTTAGCTTGAAATGGTTGTGTATATGTATCTATCCAGAGTAGCTCTGTGTGTTCTGATGGGGTAGCATGCACATATTCAGCCTGTGATGGCTCCGTGTGTGTGGCTGTGGTGATTCTGTGTGTATGTGTCTTGTAAACCTATGTATAGCAGCCTGAGGAGGCTATGTGTGTGTATCTCCATCTGCTTGTGGTGGCTGCATGCATGTCCACTGCATAAGTCTGTGGTGGCTATGTATTTGTGCCTGGGTTGGCCTGGGGTAGGTGGGTATCTGTTCACGTTGATCTGAGTGCAGCTGTGTGTCAGGCTGTGGTAGTTGTGTGCCTACACACAGGCTGGGTACATGTGATTGTGTAGAGGTGTGACTTTTCCTGTTTGAGTCCCTATTATCCTCTGTCCATGTATCAGGATCTTTCTTAAGGGGGTATATCCACAGTGACAAAATTAGTGTGGTGTGTATTCCTGCCATAGGGGGGAGAGAGAGAGAGAGAGAGAGAGAGAGAGAGAGAGAGAGAGAGA